GATCCGTATCTGGCACACGTAGCCTTTCTCGGGATCTTACATATAATTTCTTCCGCATTTTACTTCATTTTTTTTAGCTTATTGGAGTTCCCCGTAGAGGTAAGCGGTTCCAAATTCCTAATAGATTCCACCTGGAATCTGGAACCTACCTTTGAATACAGGTTCCTCAGTTTTTGGAATCTGGAACCTATCCGTCGATATCTAGAATCTGGAATCTATCCATCACAGGTTCTAGGGTAGGTTCCATGGTCTAATAGGTTCTTTTTTTTTTTCATTTTTGGTTAAACAAAACGAAAATAAACGCAACAACACTGAACAAGCTTGTCATTCACCAAAGAGAATGCAAAAGACTAGTTTTCCTGGCATTACTGTTCAAATAAATACAATTAAAATGAGAAGTTATTGCGTGAATCGATACTAGAGATGAGCGGTTCCATGTTCTATATAGGTTCCACCCGGAACCTACCCATGAGAATAAGTTTCTCATTTTTTGGAACTTGGAACCTACCCTATCACAGGTTCCAAGTTGGTTCTAAGATCTACCCAGGTTTCACCCGTTTTATTAACTGAACAATTATAGTAAATCATCACATTTAATGACCACCACTTGCTATTATGATCCACTGACCACAACTTATATTTAGACACACGAAGAATATGAAACATTAACGAGTCATAAAATAAAAGTTCAGACTAGTGATTTTAAATTATATACTCATCTAATACCATAACACCATAAAATCATGCGAAGACATAGGCCAAAAACAAACACAAAAAACTTATTTAGGTTTCAGGTTCCAGGTTCCACCCACCTAGAACCTGGAACCTACCCGTTGAAATAGGTTCCCCAATTTTTGGAACTTAGAACGTACCTTGTATATCTCGGAACCTGGAACCTACAGATTCCCACCGGTCAGGTTCTCAGGTTCTCAGGTTCCAGGTTATACCTTGGAACCATTCTCACCCCTACCTCCTCGCTCGATCTTGTGCAACCTAACGATAATTCGTATCCACATTAATTTCTAAATCACTATCTCCATCTATCTATCTAACAATCGCGAAACCTGTGTATCTTCTCTTCTATGATTGCTTTTGCGGTCCAGCTTGTGCATGGAAAAAAATAATATGACGGCAATATAAATGCTAGATCATGTCTTTGTTGGGAGCGTGTAACCTCCATAACACATTAATTCTTCGACGTGAGACTTCTTTAAAATAACCCCCTCACACGTGTGAGCTCACCAACTAAAATAACCCCCTCACGTGTGAGCTCACCAACTAGATGGGGCTTTGATAGATACCTTCACTTGGGGAGATCTTGCAGAGAGAGAGCCGAAGTTCGAGCCCGTCAACATATCCAGTTGAACCCAACTTGACTCAAAAGCTTAAATCAATGAGTTATGAGCCAATCAAGATATATTAACTGCTCCATACCACACTAATTCTCCAATGTGGGACCTTTTAAGCACAACCCACACGTGTATTTCAATAATCTCGACTTACCAATCACCACACAAAAAACAAATAGGAGTCTTTGGTGAGATCCAGCGCCGATAGTACTGCTTTATATACAAAATTAATATCCAGTTGCTCGAATAAGTGAAAGTAACAACTTCTACATTCCAAATGATATATGCAAAAACTACTGTTTGGGGTAACTTGTTTCGATGTGTAGATGAAACCAATGCTAGCTGAAGCGAGTTCTTTTCCTTATTACAATGGGGCATGCATCTTCTTCTCGCTGTTTGGAATATTTCAGTAGGCGAGTCAAAATCGTCTAGTCACGAGTTTCAACGCATCCATTTGCGGATGCGACGGATACAGAAGGGTATCCCAGTTTTGGAGTTAAATGGGACATCACAGTTTTTAACCTTAAACTTAAAGACATGCCCTTGCCACACATGTCGCTGTTAATGCCGTTTGGTAAGAGCTCGCAAGACATATTCCAAGACGAGGATCACTTTCATCAGGAAGAACCAGCGATCCCATGATCACATATAAATTTCCAAGAATCAATCGAAGCCAGTTGATCCCTTTTCGTTTCTCTTCATCAACTGTTTATTACAGTAGCAGTAGTGTAATGAACCTCTAAAAGGCCCTCGTGAACATAATCCATGTTTCCCATAACCTTACTATCCTAGTCAAAGCCTAATCTAATCTCGCTTATCAGAGATTAAGTAGAGAATAAAACGAAAAGGCTAGGAAGGTGGTGGCTCTGAACCCCATTCCAGTCCAGTATGTACGATGAACTTACCGTCATGTTCTATTTCCTTTTCGGACAGCTTATCACTTCGCTTATTTTTCGATCATTTAGCTAATTTTGCAGCTAAAGGCGGGGAGAAAAAGAGACAGTGATCTACTGAAAACAGAGAAGAATCCAAACCACATCGAGAAAAAAGCTGATGAATTGTCAAACACTGAAAAGCTGAAAAGGGTATTTCAATGTCTCAACAGCGGAAAGACCGACTTGAAATGATTCTTCCGTTTCGTTATAAAGTTACGGATTTTTCTTCTTTTTTTTCGGTGTTGATAGATGTTTGAAGGACTTGATGAGTGTTAATAAACTGTCGCTAAAATTTGCTATCGAACACCTGGTTTTCCGGTAAAAGAAAAATCTAGGATTCCTGTTTTTGAGGGAACAAAAGGGTAGATAAAATTAGGTGCCAGGAGAAATATAGGAAACACGCAACGATAAGAAGTGTTGTGTTTTTGCGTTTGCTCTGTTGTGCCTTGCCTATTATGTCTCTTCAACACTGCACAAGCATTCAATGAGTTTTTGGCAAAATACCAGCTGCTCAGTATGATAAACCACTACCAAGGTCCATGCAATGCAACTCTCTCATCCATCAAATTCTTGGATTTTTGTTGCCTAAGATCGATTAAATTTAAATCAAGCTTACCTAATCACTTTTTGAAGATATTATGATGAGTCTTACTGGATTTCAACACAATTTTTCATGTTGTGATCAACTGAGTGACTTAGTGCACCAGATGAGTTGGTGGTCGCGGCGACGGTCCAGAGATTAAAGAGATATTAAAGATGAGGTGTGGATAGAACTCGCTCCATAACTAATGATATTTGGTAATGAGCCTAACCTTCATTTCGCACTATTACAAAACTTAGTTAATGCCCCGATGGCACTACTTATCAAATCTTTCAGTTATATCTTGAGTATTAAATAATTTACAAAGTAATGTATCTAGAGTTGCTTAGGGGGCGTTTAGTAACGTTTATATTTCCCTGTTTTTATGTTCTTTTCTTCCCCTGAACAAAAAAAGAACATAAATCCATTTGTGTGCGTCAGTTAATTTTTCTATTCCCCGAAATAGAAAAGGAGCTAGGGAAAAGATTTGGAATAGAAATAATAAGTAAAAAGAATCTACTTTTTGTTCCTGGGAACAACTTCTGGTCCTTTTCTTTTCTTTTCCTTCCTTCTTCTTCCCCCTCTAGCCGATCGTCAGGCTTACCTCGCCTAGCCATCACGAGGTCGGCCTCTCCATGGTCGGGCAAAGCCAACCTCGAGGCGAGGTCGAGCCTCGCCGCAACCTCGCCCAGCCACTGCAAGATCGGCTTTGCCTGGCGATGGCGAGGCCGACCGGTGAGGTGGCTGGGTGAGGTCAACCGCGATGGCCCTCATCTCTAGCCAATCGTCGGCCATCGCCGAGGCTCTGTGACTAGCTAGATAGACATGGCCACGGGCTGGTTTCGGCCTGGAACAGGCCCGGGTCAAACCTGGGACCGGCTCGTTGACCGGGCCCGCGGCTCGGAACCGAAATCGGTCCGTGGCCTACGGGCCCGGTTCCGGTTCCAACGATTTTGGAACCGGCCCGGAGCCGCCGGTTCGGAGCCCGGTTCCAAAAATTTTTTTTTATTAAGTTCAAGCCCCATCTCTTTCTCTCTTTTTTTCCCCAAATTTGATTATAATGTACATTTTGATTACATTTTATATTGAATAATTCATTATTTCATAATTTGATAATTCATTATTTTTTTATTTCATAATTTATTTTTAAAATTTTTACCAGCCGGTTCTGAACCAGGCCGGAGCCGGAACCCGCCCGGAACCGGCGGTTTCGGTTCATACATGGCCACGAACCGGAACTGCCGGTTCCGAACCATGGCCATGTCTACAGCTAGAGGAGGAAGGAGAATGGAGGAAGGAAAAAAAAAAGAAAAAATTCGAAAAATCTCATAAAATTATTAAAAAATAAAAAAAATTCACGTTAAAGAAAAATTTTAGGGTCGTGTCAAACGCTTTTCTATTCTTTTTCTATTTTGAGCATAGAACTTTTGAGTAGTTACCAAACACATTCTTCTGCTCAGAAATTTGTCCGTAAAATAGAAATGGAAAAAACTATTTCTAAAAAAAAATTGTTGTCGAGAACAGAAATATTACTATACGCACCCTTAATTATTAAAGCAAACTATTTGGAATCGGTTTAGGGATAATGACATAAACAGTCCCTGAACTTTGGTCCAATGTGCAATTTGGTCCATGAACTTTTAATTTATTTAATGTAGTCCCTGAACTTTAAGCTAATGTTCAATGTGGTCCCTGAACTTTTAATTTGTTCAATGTCATCCCTGAACTTTTGGTACATGTTCAATTTAGTCCCTGAACTATATGAAAATGTTCAATGTTGTCCCTGAACTTGAATTAATGGAAAGGACTGCATTGAACATTTTCATATAGTTCAGGGACCACATTACACATTAAATTAAAGTTTAGGGACTACATTGAACAAATTAAAAGTTCAAGGATCAAAATGCACATTTGGCCAAAATTCAGGGACTGTTTGTGTCATTTTCCCATCGGTTTAATTATGTTCTTGTAAAAGTAATAAGCATTTGACTTCTAAGGTACACATTTATTATTGATTCTATCCGTTACATCGCTTCGTTATTTTTTAAGTTTTAGTTTTAGCTTCACTGCGATCACAAGGACTCACGTGAATGACCTGTAGAAATTTCAGTGCTCAAGCTTTCCTTTATGTGTCCAACTCTACACCGTCATGCCTTCCTTTTTTATTTCTTTTGCTTGCTTCTTCTCTTTCACAACATTGGCTCCACATTTTGCAGGAAAACATAAGAACACCCTCTCTCTCTCTCTCTCTCTCTCTCTCTCTCTCTCTCTCTCTCTCTCTCTCTCTCTCTCTCTCTCAAATGGCCCCAGATTATCATACAAGAGAGCTTAACGAATATCAAGAAGAAAGCTCAACTTCAAGACCTCAACCTCATCATCATCGTCAAGCTACATCCTCATGCTTTTCTCGTATTTCAACCCCAAATCATGTCTTGCATAGCTCAGTTGAAGAACAGGGTGGATGTTTCCATGGAGCATCACAGCCTTCAGATCGTGGACTGGAGGTAAATTGATAAAGCTATCATATGTTATATTGTTAAGCATGATGTATATTTACTGTTTGATTCGAGCTTGAAATTCTCATTAACTAGATCAACCCTTTTCTGATGATAAACAGGCTTTGCCGTCTCCAATCGGCATAACTACATACCAGAAATTAGAAGATCAAAGAGTTAACGAGGATCGTCAAAAGGGACATCATGAACATGGCTCTTCATCATCTTTGCCCTCAAAATACCAGAAATTAGAAGATCAAAGAGTTAACGAGGATCGTCAAAAGGGACATCATGAACATGGCTCTTCATCATCTTTGCCATCGTTTGAGGGGACATCCTCAAAGATGAGGATGATGAGGAAGATGATGATCTCAGAAAGGAGACCATCGCCTAACAAATCATCGGCTCACAAGTCTGAAGACCGATCCTACGCTGACTCAATTACCTCGTCATGTCCACAAATGGTTACTAATGGTGGCTGCAGCGACAGCACCACGGTTAGGGTTTGCGTCGACTGCAACACATCGAAAACCCCACTCTGGAGAAGTGGTCCCAGAGGTCCCAAGGTTCTTTCCTGTTCTTACCCTTAAAATTTAATCCTCTCTTAATCCTCACTTGGTGATATTATCACAGATCATTCATCTGGGTTTAAAAGCTTACTGATCCTCCCACGAATATTGTATTCTCTGAAATTTGTTTTTGTGATGAACTAACTTTTGGAGAATGCAAGAGAAAAGAGTGATCAATTTGTCTTCTGAGATTTTTTTCGTTGTCTGTTCCAAATTATTGGTCTTGAACTGGGATTCTCATAATGTTTAGTGATTGTTAGGTTTAGAACAATTAAAAGTCATTTTGAGGGTTTTCACAAATAGGAAATGTTCTTGAAGTTTTGTTTGCCAAAGTACTGCCGTGACTCCTTCAAGATAAGCTTCTTTGAGAATATACAATAATCAAAGACTCTTCTATGGGACATTTAATTAACTTCGTTCTTTTATCTCGAGGCACAGACGCTTTGCAATGCTTGTGGGATCCGGCAGAGGAAAGCCAGGCGGGCCATGGCGGCCACCGCCACTGCCGCCGCTAGTGTTGCAATTGTTCCTCCTCCTACTATGACTTTGCCTGCAAAGTGTAAGCTGAAAAACAAAGACAACAAGAGACCGGGAAGTAAAGCAGCTATTGATCAAGAATCGGAAACAATCAAGAAAAGATTCAAGCTTCCCTCTCCGACATTGGTATCTCACAGAGAGACGAAGGAGCTTTGTTTGGAGGACTTTGCCACGAGATTGAGCAAGCGTTACTCGGCGAACCTCCAGCGGGTGTTCCCACAAGAAGAGAAGGAAGCTGCCATCTTGCTTATGGCCTTATCCTGTGGCCTCGTCCATGGTTAATAGAACAACTGGTAGAACAGACAAAATGGTTTTATGGTCATTGAACCACCTATCTTCTCCACACATTTACCATCCCAATGCGGTCATGTGACGATGTACCGGGCATTGTGGCACCGGTTACGTGCGGCAACTCCTGAATGGCTTTCATGATCATTGTTTGCTTCTTTAGGTCACTTCCATCACAGATATAACCGATTATGGATGATAAAATGGAAAATCGCTCCTGTAGTAGCATTGAAAAGCTATATGTATGGTCTCCTCAAATTAGTTTAATAATGAGTGCGAGGTTTTTCACTTAATGCATCAAGCTCTGTAAGCTTGCAGCGCGCATTGTCTCTCTCTCTCTCTCTCTCTCTCTCTCTCTCTCGTCAATTATTTGCCCTTCTTTTTCCCAGTTAACATATTCGTTTTGTTGTCTCTGATTCTGCAATTTGAAGACAGGAATTGTTTTCCTATCTCTCGAGAAGATAAGGTCATCTGTATAACATGCATTGTTGTCGTAAGGCTTCAACATTATTCTAAAGTACCAGGTAGACACACATACGAATGAATACTGTTTTTGGCGCAATGAGCACCGGTGGTTCAATTCCATAAAAGTCTGAGGGTAGTGGCAAAACTTTTATGGGGGCATAAAGATCAGCGAAAAAGAAAATTTTCCAAAGAGCAATTTTGTGAGCACGATGAAAGTTTCTTTCAGGAAATGAGCATGCATTGTTATTGCATGTGTGCCTAGGTTAGAAGGTCGCTTGCATTTTCTAGTTGAAGGCGGTATTTTTAAAAGAAGTTAAGAAATCATAATCAAGTCACGATGCTATGGGTCAACCCCTTTTTCTTGCGCCAAAGATCCTACCATTTCCAAAGAACTCCTATTATGAAGAAGTTTGAGTGGGCAGAATTTCGAGAGTGAATATCCCATCGCTTAGGCATCCTTTTCGGGGCGATTTTTTTTTAATTTATTCTGCATGATTTTTCGAGAGTAATCTTTAGGGAAACACGAAATTTCTAGGAAACAAGGTTTTTGCATCTCTTTTATGCACCTCATCACGGGTTTAATTTCTTTATCAAGGTGACCTGTAGTAATATGAAGGGTTTTGCGAAAAGCGTTTTCAATTTTTTTTTTGGTTGAAAAAGCTTTCTCAATTAATTAGCTACGTATAGAGATGGATCTAGAGCAAGCATGTATGGAAGCCAAACTAGTTTAGCAAATGCATAATGATTATCGTTGTGCGAATCGAAACTTAGTTCTTTTCAATCACCGACGAGTATTCACGAAAGCTTTCTCTTTTTTTTATCATTAGAAAGATGCTGTGCTCCAAGAAACCGACAGCAAAAGCATACTTAACTCTTTCAATAGATTTGCCCCTAACTCAGTAAGGTTTTAAGTACGTACAATCGATTTCGATATTTCTTCCTGCATTACTAGCTCCTGACTTTTCAAGGACTATCAGCGCTTCAGGATACTTTCCTCGAGAATCTCTCATGATAAGTCCAACTAGTCTGTGAGAATTCAATGGATGTTTCACAGTTGAGTCGCCATTAATGCATATTATAGCTCTTCATTTGGAAGTTTTTGCTAACTAATACTACTTCCTCGAATTGGGAATGTCAAAAACTTTGGTGGGGGCATGGTTTTAGGGACGAACATGTGAATTTTTCTAAAAATTCGGGGCCTAAGCATAATTTCGGAAAAAGGTTGGGAGCGAGGATACATACGTTGAATTACCGACAGTGCCTACATACGTTGGAAAAATTGGCTAGACTAGAGTAAAATTGAAGAAACTAGATGTCCTTTTGGTGTAATTTGGAGAGTACATTACTTGAAAGCTAATAAATGCAGGTGTTCGCTCACGTTCGTTCACGGTTTGCTAGGACAAGACAAACAATCTCCCGTTGTATAATTTGTTGCCTTGCGGAAAGGACCGTGTAAAGATTCAAAACTGAGATACTACCGAGGCCAAAAAAAGACGGAAGGCATCGACTGCTCACTTTTTACTTGTATCCGGCTTTTTAATGGGACGTACCTAGGACTGCGTTTAACTTATTTAATGTTTGATAAAAAAAATCGGACGGATTAGATAAAGATGAAAATCTAATAACTTATACAATGTTTAATAAATATATGGATATCCAAGCTGAATTGAATGTTGACTGATCATACAGATTGAATGTCGACGTAATGGTTCTTGCTGCTATCAACCTCTCGACGTAATGGTTCTCACCGTCGGCAAATCACACCTTACTCTCCTTGCTATCCTCCACCTCATTCTCCTCTCCGCCCATGCCGGATGGAATGTTAACCGTTCGGATCTCTAAGCCCTCATGAACGTCCAAGCTACCTGAGATCTTTAGCAATCATCAGTCTCCCCTTCATCTTTATTGCTGGCTTGCAATTTTCAATAACCATTAGTCCCGTCGCTAGCCTTATCCTTGCACCAACGCCAAGGTCGAGGTCTAGCAAACGAATGTGCATCTGATGAAGGTGCGGTTGCTCGTGCTATGAGGTGCGTGAGACAAAGGGGAACAACGGCTGTTGCTCCAAATTTGGCCATGGAGGGGAGCGACGACCAGTACTCCAAATCTGCCCTTGGAGCTCCTCCATGCTCCATGGCTGAGGTCGAGTTGAGCTCAACCAAGGAGGCGATACGGTTTTGGCCTTGGAGATCCGTGGCCGAGATTGAGTTTAGCTCATTGATGGCAACAAGACGAAGCTCGGTGGGAGGCAGTGGGTGGCGGCCAAGGGTGGGTAGAGGGGAGAGAGGATAGAGATGAGTGTGAGACATATCCTATCCACCTTTATCCCACATTTCACATGGGATTACTTTATTCTTGTTGTATTGTTCTTATATTTGGCCTTGTACTATCTTGGACAGCACCCAACATAGAATTGGATAACATTTATCATATCTTAACTTTAATCCTAGCTACTAAACATAGCATAGCATCAAACTACATTATATATATATAGTCTCTTTTCTTCTTATTAATAAATGGTGGGAAGGAGCCACCGCCGCGCTACTTTCTCTGGGCATTACAATAAGGGTCTCATGCCACTACGGAATGTCCAGTTTGAGACATAGCTACCTGGTCCTTCCATAGACGTACGAGTCTGCACGTGTCAGAAGTTCGGAAATCTCTCCACACAAAACAACAATGTCTAAGGCATAAGCTACGGAGAAGTTTGCCCATGATAAGACTCGTACCTGTGACCATGATGGTCTCTATTTGACTAAATGGTCAAATAACTGATTTAAATGACGTAAATTTCGTGTTCAAATCACAAGGTTCCTCTTCAACTGTTCTTTCTACCACCTTATTGGACTTCGAGGGCTTTAAGGCGGAGTACTCGGAGTGATAAGGGTATCGCAGTCCTTCATGACGCCAAAATTTGATCAACTCCAAAGTGTAATCAAACTCTGGCTCGCTAGCCATGCCTAACACCTTGTGGATGAGGTCTTACCCGTGTGTATGAGAGAGGTAATTTGCACACATCCGTGTAGTTAATCGAGTCGAAAATTTCAAATACATTGTTATCGAATATGGTGAGAGTACATTAGGACAATTTTACTAATCTATTAAAAGAACAGATTTTTTCCCGTGTTAGGAGATTTTTAAGATAGTTGGTAAGTGTCAAGTAGCTATTTGTGAAAAATTTACCAATAGCTTGATATCCCCGTGACTTGTAAGCGACTCACCGAAATTTTTATAAAATAACCAACTTTTTGTTACTATTTGCAAATTACTGGCTTTTCTTGTCTTTTATTGATTTTTATTTTTCTCTATTAGCAACACTTTAAATTTACCAATTTGATATGAGTAACTTAATAACATTTTTTAATTAAATTACTAAATATATCAACTGTATATGAAATTTACCAACCTTTATATCATGTAAGTTACTAGTTTTTGTCTCGTTAGATTACGTACTAGTTTGGTTTACCAATCCTCGTTTGAGTTGCTTAACAACATTTACTTGTACTATTTAATTTGGCGATTTTTTTGTTGAATTACTAACTTTTATTTGTCTTACTTATCTACCCGATAAATTTACGAACTCTTTTTAGAAATTATCGATATTAATTAGAGTGATTACCAATTTTTCTCTGACTAAATTACCAACTAGTTTTGCATTATCTATTCTTATTTAAGCTAGTTACCAATGTTTATTTATTTATTCTTATTACCGACTTCTCTTATCTCTAGCAAGAACAACTTATCTTCTTTCAATAATGCTTACTTTTCTCATCAACGCCTTAAATTTATTAAAATCATATGAAATTACCACCCTTTATTTGAGCAACTTGCCAACTTTTCTCCAATTAAATTACTGACTAGTTTCGGGTTACAAACTCCCAGCTGAGTTACTAACTAATATTTTATTTGGTAATTTTTGAATTTATCAACTTTTTCGATTTATGCTCTTATTAGATATATGTGGTTATGTTAACGAGTGCCTTAGAGAATATCTCAGCATTTATATTTAGGTTGCAGGTTGGTGTAGAGGGGGAAAACGTGTCCTGATGATAGTAAAATTTTAACAAATAACTGTTTGATTCTTCAATTACACCATGTACATTCATCATGAGAAAAGAATAAAGCATCGAAAGCGGGAACTTTCCTTACTTGGTCGTTTAATTAACGAGTATCGTCGCGGTGAAAAATACGACATACCCATTTATCCTTTTCAAGATATGATGAAGAAGGCACGTTTGCATTTTACTTTGTGAACAGGGATGTGTAAAGATTTTTATGCAGAATGGTCGAGCATATTATGGTAAAGAGGAAGTGAAATTAGAGTTTAAAAAAAAAAAAAAAGATAAGGCAAAAAGCAGGAAGAAAAAAGTTCCGTTGCCGGGACTTGAACCCGGGTCTTTCGGGTGAGAGCCGAATATCCTGACCAACTAGACTACAACGGAGTTGATGTTAGGCGTACCAGCAATTTTAATTTATACTGTTATTCTATGAAAAACCGTTGACACCGCATTCACGCGTGGCGAACCTGGCGATCTTTCGTTTTTCTGTTTTTCCCATGAATAGTATGATATCTCATGAATTGGTGATGACTCTCTTAGTTCTTGTATGGATTTTCTTTGTTCACTCACGCAGATAACTTCCCTCCCTCTGCTATCGCGGTCACTAAACCATTGGAAAAAGCTCGACATCTCAATCGACTGTCACGAGCAACCTTTTACCGACACGCAACCCTTGGTTCGCATCGCGTACAACCGCCAAGGATCCACGTTGGGTTCTATGGAATTGAAACGCAACACAAGACCAGTCGACTTTCAGCTTGTATCAGCAAGACCATAATTTGGATCCTACTGTGTTCTTGCCTCCAGGATGTTAATCTATTCTTAGAGAGAGAGTTTGTATTCAAACAACAGCTAGATAAGCACAAAATTGGATGTCGATTAAACGTAATGGCTCATTAAGTTAACTGTTTGATCCATGGTAAAAAGTTTAAAAGTGTTACGACAGTCTAATCTAACCGAAAAACAGCTCCTCATATTTCCGTAACTAACGAGATGGAGCGACCTGGAATATCTCCCCATCCCACAAGCCTAACAAATTACCGCTGAGGTTATTCAGCAGGTGATTTAGAAGGAAACCTGATAAAAAAAAAAAAACCGATTTGACACTGGCAAAGAGAGTATGGTTGCTGATGGCGCTGGGAGGGAGACCATTTCCTTCACCGATGGAGAATCGGGAACATGAAGAAACACACTTCACACACTCGGGATCGGATTGTTACATCAGATGTCTAGCATTCCTCCTGCCATTGGAACTGCATCATCTCGACTTGTATTATAACCATATACACCATCTCTAGGCATTCACAGGCCTTCCAGTCAATTTGGGGAAAGGATCTTGCTTGCTTAAGACCACCACTTTGCTTTTGTGGGCAAAGTAACCTTTGACGAGGTTCTTGTGTATCAATATGGCAACTATGCACTCCACCTGCCAATTCCACACGCCACTAGATCAAGCTAGCTGTTGGATGAACATGATGAGAGAGAGAGAGAGAGAGAGAGAGAGAGAGAGAGAGAGAGAGAGAGGGGTGAATATGCATGGGTAAGGCAGATTAAAATGTACCTCATCCAAATCCATGTCGATCTCAAGCCATTTCAATGCTTTGATAATAACTTCCAACTTCATCTGGTGGGCTTTGCTTGGGTCCTTCTGCTTTTGAATGATGTAACTATCCAAGAGAAACAACAATGAAAGAATTCTCAGAGATTATTATTCTTCTTCCTAATTGTACCATAATTTCACAGGGAAGAAAGAGATTATGAGAGCTTACATTTTCTTCAGTAGTCTTTGATAAACTTGGAGCTCCAACTTCTCTAGAACAAGATATACACCAGATCTAAGGAACCTGACAAAAAAAATTTATTAGTTTCAGTATTCGAGTTGTCCCCACCATCTTTATCAGGTATAATCGCAGGAAGCACACAAGAAATAGTGACTTTCTTTCTATTGCAGAAAACCAAAGCAGAAGTACCTGTCTTCATGCTCTTCTAGGGCACTTCGAAGAAGTCGAAGGTCACCCCTCTTTAGAGCTAGCACAATATTCCTGTACTGTAAAAGTACATATATCGTCACTTGGGAATGGGCTACTGGGATATTAATGTCTACCATATAACAAAAGACAACTTATAAATCGAATAAACTGAAAACTGATCGTCAACAGGTAAGAACAACAGAACTACTTAGTTGTGCTGGCTCTTTCATATTATTTCCCTCCTTCAGAACTTATAACATCCAACAAAGAAAAGTTAAGCTACCAGCAGACATAAACACCACTCACTGGCATCCAACCTAATGGAGCACAAAGCACAGGAATACTAAAACGTAGAACTCATCAGGAATAAGCAGACAGGCAGATCATACCTCAACCAAGTTATATTTCTCCAGGAGCCAATCTTTCGGTAAAATTCCAATTGAAAGCTTCACCGGTATCAAGTACTTCAATATCATCCTATCAAATGCATATGAAGAATAGGTTTCTCACCATAATGTAGCTACAGAGATCATCTTGTAAATAAAGCTAAGTATATGATGCTAAGAAAACTATAAACAGAGAATCAAGAGGCAAGAAGTGCACATGCAATAGTATTGTTGCCAATAGCCAAGGGAAGAGAGAAAAAGTAGACAATTCAAAATGAAACCAAAAAACAATAGTTCATCAAGGGATATATGATTTTCTAAAAGTCATTTTAGTACTAAACAAAAAGGATAAGGAACTAGTTCCTCCTCGACATGTCAGAGAAGTAATGTCCATTAAGCCAATTGACTTTTATAAAATATTCTCGTCCCAACATTAGAGACATCCAATTTCTCTGGTTCTGCCAACCAGAAAGTAATTTCCCTGGAATAAGTTGGAATCCAGTAAGAAGTACTCAAACTCAGGGTCCATTGACTGGAAGTTGGAAAAAAAATTATCCAAAATCATCCGATCCAACAGGAAAACCAGGTATGCATACGCACAGCATCTATCTGCACATGTGACGTTATGTAGGTCTCATACAATTTAGTTAACGTAACGCAATATTGCTTATATCAACATCAACTTGGAAACCGAACTCTTGATGATATTAAGTGTGAAAAAAACCACTTTTGTCAGAAGAATCCCTCTCAGTTACCAAGAAAATGTAAATATTAATGCAGCAAGACATCTGAACAAACCTTATATTTGCTTCACTATGAGGATTGCAATGTGCCAAGGCATAAGATAATTTTTGTTCAGCCTGCCAGGAAAGAGGAATATACATCGTAAGTCCAAGACAAGAACAGTAAGTTACAACTTTGCATCAAATCAGTATGCCAAATAAGAATGGAATATAATCACATAAAGATCATAATGCCACAGCAGGAGCAATCAAACAAAGAGAAGATGCCAGCAAAACTTGTTTAAAACAGTGAGTCACTTTTTTATCGTACAAGTGAGCCATGTGTAGAGTGCTTAAGTGGTGTGTCCATGCTCCATCCTCAAGAAATAAGGGGTTAAAGCACAGCGTATTTCCTTGCATTGTGCAAGTGGGCCACTGTAAAGTGTTTAACCGGTAGATTCATCCAACATTCACAAGAAATCAAGGCCTAGAGCCTCAGAAAGCCCCATATCATCAAAGCAAAGTACTTAACTTTCTTCTCAACAAAAAATGAAATGTCACCTAAACTGTAAGGCAATAAGACTACTTACAGCTGTAAAATTTTCATTGTAAACTTCCAGACGTCCTGTGTAGTACATGTATGTCACCTGGCAATGCATACCGTGACAGTCAAATGCTGTTTATCTAGCTGCGAACAGAGTTACAAAAGAGGCTGAAGGAATCGCATCAGCAACACAATCAGCATAAGTTTTGACCTTATCTCTTTGAGGAAATTCTTCGAAATCAAATATCCGCGCAGTCTCAATGCTTCTTATGACACTGCGGCAAAGGTGAACTGTACCCAGCTGTAAATTAAAAAATGCTAGCACCTCTTAGATTTCATGCAAAACAAACATCAACTACTTTTAGAAGAAAGGTTTCAGACGGGTTTGCATATAAGACTTATAACATAGAGGCCCAGTATTTGCCAGACTAGCTTTCGAGTTGCATCTTCCACATTATCGGAAAAAGAAACAGGAATGGAGACACAAGGACCATAACCGTAAGCAACAGACGATTTCACAACGCATTTCACCTTAAAGTAAATTTTGAACAGCTGACAAGTCATGTATAATGCTCCTACGCGTTTGGGGCCCTTCCCCTGGACATAAAGAGATCTCCAATATCAGTTAATGCAAAAGCAAGTACCTGTTCTACTCGGAATCAGAGTAGCAGGAAAATCCAATAATGGAGCAAGCCGATTCGTGATAAGAAAAGGAAGCAAACGAGTTGAATGGTGTCCATAATAGAGACTCACGGCTAGGACCCCGAACACTTTCATCAAGAAGGAGCCGGCCGCCTTTAATTTCTCCGGCAACTTCCCATTGGCGGACAGTTCTCTATCCGCCTAGCGAAATCAACCCGCAAAAAAATCAAACACCCGACAGACAATTTCAATACTTTACTGTAAAAGTACCAAAAACCGCACGACAGCGAACATATATGACTTGGAGAAACGAGCAACAAATTACCCTCTCGGCAAGAACCCTAATTTCGTAAGCAATCACATACAATGCCTCCAGTGCCCAAGCCGAGTCCCAGTTCCTAAACTCCTGAATGAACGCGCTGCAATCTCCAACCGATTCGCACAACAATCACGCTCCTGGGCAACTCAGATTCCGAAGCGCGAGAGCTTCAGGGGAAAGAAAACAAAGGGACGCGAAGGGAAATTTTACTTGGCAGCTTTCTCGTAGGCGGGATAGGCGTCGGCCAAGTTGCTGAGCCGGTAGCTCTGGAGGCAACGGAAGAGAGGCGCGACGATCTCCGCGAGCTGGGACCACTTCTCCGACTGCTTGATCAGCCTGATCGCGTCCTGGAAGAGAACGCACCAACACGAGCCGCTCCGATGAATATCGCGATCGAACGGAACGAAACGAAAACTCAAATTCTTCCGGGAAATCGGCCGTCAGATAGGGAGAGGGAGGGGGAGGGGAGGGGGAGGGAGAGACCTGGAGAAGGTTGAGGGCGTCGGCGAGGGAGAGGAGGGAAGGGGAGGCGGAGGAGAGGGAGAGGAGGGGCTTGAGGGAGGCGACGTCCTGGGTGGAGACGGCGTCGGAGAAGCGGCCGAGGTAGTCGGTGACCCGCCGGTGCGCCTCGCCCATGCTCGGGTACGCCATTTTCCGGCCTCCTCCTTCCTCTTCTCCTTCTCCTTCTCCTTCTTCTTCACGCTCGTATCAGATGGATCGACGACCGCTGCGCCCGGCGCTGCATCAGCCGCTGGAAAGTCCTCGCGTTCTTCACGCTCTATTCTTCGGTCGCAGCTGTTGCTGTCCGTCTCCTTTCCGACTTCAAGCTGGCCTCGGATACTACTGACTCGGTCGAGTTCGAAATCGGTGGGACTCGGTAATGCCATGATTTGTCTCATAAACTTTTTTTTTTTGGTTAATACCACGAAAAATCTCAAACTTATACATCGATGATAAATTTACTCCAAACTAATCTTTTGACCATCAAAACCCCCGAAATAGTACATCTGTGATAAATTTACCTTCCGTTAAATTGAATTAACACCGCGAAAAATCACAAACCGATACACATGTGACGAACGGAGGGTAAAACCCCAAACTGGTACAACCGTTAACTGTCACGTGTCATCCAACTCATAAATTTAATGGTAAAATTTAAAGGAAGCTAAAGGTGCGTTTGTTTCGCGAAAATTCATTAATAAAGGAAAATCATTTTCCGAAAACGGTTAGTTTTCTTTCGTTTGATAATACGTAATCGAAATTGTTTTCTGATGTTTAAATTTTATTGGAGAATGATTTCAATATCATGACTTTATCTCAAGGAAAAAAAAATCGATTTTTTTAAAATGTTTTATTTTTAAAAAACGAAATTTTAATTATTTTAATTTCTTTTTAAAAAAATTTGAATTTTTAGTTATTTTTTTTTCTTTTCTTTTTCTTTTTTCTTCTCTTTCCTGTTCTTTTTTCTTTTCTTTCTCCTCCTTCCTCCACCGCGACCGGCCGGCGACACCCCGACAATGACCCCAGGCGAGCTTGAGCTCGCCGGCCTCAGGAGAACCGCAAGCTCGAGCTTGCCTGGATCTAGCAAGCCACAAGCTCGCTGACCTCTGCTGAGCCCTAGCTCGCTTGGATATGGCGAGCCTCGAGCTCACTAGCCTCGGGCGAGGTCAAGGCGATGTGGAGGCGGCGAGGTCCAAGCGAGGTGGAGGCGGCGAGGTCGAGCTCGCCAGATCCCGGCGAGACTCAAGCTTGTCGCGTTGAGGCTGGCGAGACTCTAGCTCGCCGAAATCTGGTGAGCTTGGCCTTGCCTGAGGCCGGCCATTCGCCGGCAAGGACAAAAAAAGAAAAAGAAAAGAAAAAATATTAACAAATTTAAGATAATCAATTTCGAAAAGTGTTTTCACATTTTTTAAGTAGGGAATTCACTTTCCTAAATTTATACGTGAATGGTTTCCTTGACTGAAAAGTGTTTTCGGTTGACCAAATCATTTTCGGACAACCAAACGGACGAAAGTCCGGAAAACAGTTTCCCGAAAAGCAATTTCACCAAAATAAACGCACCCTAACAGAGGATAAAATTGTTAACGGAAAAGGTTTTCCTACCAAAACTTAGATTCAAGAAAATGATTTCCTCTTTGAAAAAACCGGAAAACGTTTTCTGAAATATGACTAGATATCGTTTAGACCCAAAACTCTACACTTGAGCACGAAAATCCCAACCTTGGTTCCCACTTCCGGCATTCAAGATTAGATCCCTGACGGCTGGGCCCGGGACCTCAGTGTCTCGGGCTTGGGCCCCCGACACCCACACCCAGATCCATCGAGGGCGAGCCCTGGTGCCTATACCCGATGCTCCGGCACCCAAACTCGGATCCATAAAAGCTGTGCTCGAGTTCCCAACTCTCAGGCTCTGGTCCACAAAGACCGTGCGTGGGTCCTTGATGTTCGAGCTCGGGTCCTTGATTAATAAAACGCTTGTTCTTATAAATATTTTTTTAAAAAAATTGTAAAAATTATTCATGTTAGTGCCTAATAAGGGGTGTCAATGGGTCGGGTTGGGTCGGCTTCCACTACTACCCGACCCGACCCAACCCGAATCATAAGTGTTCGTGCTCTCTCTGACCCGAACCCGACCCGAATCGCATAGGACCCGAACTAAAAATCCGGGTTGGGTCGGGTTTCGGGTTCGGGTTTTTGCATGGGTTTTTCGGAGGGTGCGTTTAGAAGCAAGTCTAGTAAGAATTTTTTTATAGAGTGGGTATTATTAAGCCGCTCGTCACTTTGAATACAACTAAATTGCTTGTGCTGAAATCAACTTGTGTACAAGAGCTTTTTAACTTAAACCGTAAGCTTCACCATCTTTAACGCCCGAAAGAGTATAGAATCCAAATGCACTGGAAGCAACAGCAACATCCAACAATCTAGAAAAGGAGCTCAATTGCCATAACAAATAAATACCTTTTCCCCCACAGAATTAAGCGATGAACTAAAAGACAAATGATTCGGAGTAGAGAAGCTGCGAAGGCTCCTCATTGAAATTAATAGAAAAACATACGAAACCTCCTTATCGAAGGATGACCAAGATGGAGGCGGAATCAACGCCGGCGACCAAGGGGGAGACCAAGATGGCCTCGATTGAGGGGTTGTGGAAGGAGACGAATCGTTCCGTGAGAAAGAGAGTGTATCGCGAATTAATACTTAAGGGTTTCAATTCAATTTTGGTAAACTAACATGTTTCGGTTCGGTTCGTGTTATGACCCGAACCGAACTGAACCGAACCGAAACAAGTCACAATACCCATTTTATAAATTTATACCTGAACATAGTAAGACCCGAACCGAAAATACCTTAAAATCTCGGGTCGGCTCGTGTTTCGGTTCGGGTATTGTGTTTGGTTTTGACACCCTAGTGCCTATCGTGCCACATAGGATGGCCGGTGTTCACGTCAGCAATTTACGGTCAAAATTGATCAGATTAAGACTCAATTGGCACAATTAAAATGTTTAGAACTAAATACAATATGTTTATAATTTTTTCAGTAATTTTGCCCGGGAACAACCTATCTTCTCAGACTGAGAGAGAGAGATGGCTGTCTTAATTTTGGTAATGAACTTTGGAATTGACGCTTTCGATTTAGCTTCTGTTGCTTTTTACATACCAGCGGGAGATGGAGGAATCTCGTCCATTGTTTTATGCGGAGCCAACATCATGGAAGGAAAACCGGCGATTCCGGGACGAACGAGAACCACCCGGACGCGAACTCCTCTTTACTTTCCTTTCGTTTTCCGGGAAAGTTTGTCCCGATGCGGTGGAGATTCCCTTCGGAGGCCGCTCGATAGCGAGCATTCGACCACAGAAATCGGAGAAAAAAGTGAGAAGCTCTTGCTAGAAGAACCACGTGACCCACGACCTCGCCAGTCACATCATGCAAAGCTCGGGCACAGGGAAGGAGGAGGAAGACCGCAGGTCCACGGCGGGGCGGCGGCGGCGGCGGCGCGCCGTTCGGATTGTCGTTTCTGGTACGTGATTTTCCGGCACGCGTGCCATGTGTGTGTATGGCCGGCCAGTCGACCAGCATGTGCTCGTCACGTGCACGTTGCTAGCCCTTCCCAAAGGCATTTTGGTCCGAAAACCACGGTATCTAAATCGAAATTCGAAACCCCTCAATTGATCTGAGGGCATAGTGCACGCACATAAGACAGCACCTACTTGGATTTGTTTCGGTAAAAGGACGTTCCCATTAGTGGGGGGCGACTTCGGAGGTTTTAACGTTTTGATTACATACAACGGAAAGAGAGAAATGTATGTATTTTTCCCGAACTAAGATGCCCCCGGAAAAGAGGGCAAAACGCGCACACAGTATGCGCACGTGTTCACTATCAATGGCGATGGACCCTTTAATTATCGGATCAAAGCTATCGACTTTAAGGTACTTTGGAACAAAATCGAGTTTAAATTTCGAGAAACGACCATCGTCTCGAAAGTTATTGAGCCAAAGCAATAGATCCCACTTTAGGGATATTCTTGAATTTTGGCTAAGTCATAATATCCGCGAGAGCAGCCGTTCGACGTCGAGCTTCGGTTGTCGAAACCAACGTAAAAAACGTCCGAGGGGGAGCGCTCGTGTTGCTGTCGGCCGCTCGCTGTGGTTCACATGTACGTCCCGCGCACGAGAGAATCCACCCGCTATCAAGAATTCAAGATACTCTTCGCCCTCGGGCTTCGCATGACGCACGAACGCAAGCGCTAGAGGAAGAGGAAGAGGAGAAGAGACGAGAAGATAACCTCCAAGAACCTCCTCCTTCGACGCTCTCCCGTTCCCATGTCTCCTCCCTCCCTCTTTCTTTGACCTTCGTCTCGAAGCTCGCGTAAAGCTGCGTTTTTGCCCCATCTTTCTCGGCACCCAGAAGCTCCGAAGGGAAGGAAGAGTTGATACGCGGGCCTTCGTGTTCATCTCTTCTTGGGTTTTTTGCGGCTTTTGGTTGAGCCTGGGCTTAGATGGCGGATGTGGTTCGATTGTCTTCATTGGGTTTCTCTTCTTCTACTTCTTCTTCTGCTCTGACGCCGTCCTCTTCGCGCCAGCATGCCCTCTGCCCTCCTCAGAAGCTCCACAGGAGGTCTGGTTTTTCTGCGAATTGTTCCCACGGTGGGGGTGTGGCGGGTCTTGGTTTCGGACCCCGAAAGCAATTTGCCTCGTTGAAGGTAAGGCTTTTCCCTTTTCTTTTATTTTCTGGGGAAATTCTTGCTTTTGGGGGATATAGTATTGGATTATAGTGAACTTGTGAGGACTCATTCGAATGAGCTGCTTGTTGCTGCAATTTCTGTTTTTTTGCGCATCACCCGGGCAAGATCATATTTCGGTTTCAATTGGATTGGTTTTTTTAGTGATTGGGGACTGTTCTGTTGTGTATGATTGTCAAAGTCCGTAGGATTACAAGGACTTGATGACTGACCATCATTAATTTGGAGCAGGAGGGCTTGTTAGGAACTAAATGAGTAGGGAAATCTCGTCTTGGTTAGGATTTCTGGTGTATATCCCATTTGTTTGGTCTTGCTCCATCCTGTACTTTGGTAGGAAATTTGGTTGCTCTGGATGGTCAAAGAAAATCAAGAAATCCCAGCAATGCTTTGTCAACGGGTGCTCTGGCTTTATTCAGTTTGTACATTGATCCTTTGAGGTTGAACAAGCAGGTGATTTCCAATTCAGTGGTATCCTGAGCCAAAAAGAGAACAGCAACAGCCTAGAGCTAAAAAAAATGTTTTACAGGCTAAGATCAAGTATAATGCAGTGTACATACACAGAATTGTGCAAAAGTTTACACTTGCGAAGGTGCAAATTTTACAGATTATTGACTTCTATATGATCCTTTTATTGGCCCTTGTTTGACTCAAGAGTAGGGGATTTTGACAAAACGAACATGGTACCAATGATGGAACCTGATTTCATTGGTGGATACCAGTTGAAGCCCCTACCCTTTTTGTTGTTCTTAATATAGACACAGATATAAATTTCTGAAAGTTATTGATAGATCATTCATGAACCGTTTTACTAGAAGTAGAGAGAGAGAGAGAGAGAGAGAGTCTGATTAAGCTAGTGGGCTTGGGAGTAGGCTGTTAAAATGATGCTTCAGTGTTTAATAGTACAGGTCCACCATGAGGAGGAAAAAGGAGGAAAAAATATTCAAGTGTACTCTGTTAATATGTACCCATATATACTTCGTGTACAAAATTACCAACACACGCACGCAAATCCACATATGAATAAGATTTCTGTTTTATGACTCTGTTTTGTTTATGGTTTCTCCCTTGTTGGTTGCTCTCCTCCAGGCGCATGCAACTGTTACTGAAACGGACCAGCCAAAATGGTGGGAGAGGAATGCCGCACCCAATATGGTTGACATTCATTCTACACAAGAGTTTTTGAGTGCGTTAAGTCAAGCTGGAGAAAGACTAGTAATTGTTGAATTTTATGGGACTTGGTGTGCTTCTTGCAAAGCATTATTTCCCAAGGTGAGTGTCCCATCTATTATTCTTTTCATGGCTCAGTCAACATCGAGGTATTGTCTTGATACATTGATTGTACATGTCCTTTCCCATTGGCCAGGTTGATCCCCCCCCCATCAATAATATTATATAGGCAGCTCTTCTACAGAACATTATTTACTTTAAAGTATTCTCCCAATGACATGCATTTCTCATTTCATATTGTGGTGGCTGATTGTATAAATGGCAGGAGAAAGAAACTATATGCACTTTATGCAGGCGTCATTTTAGATTTTGCATTTTTCCCAATTTTACTGTCTTGTTTTCTGCCTCGGGAATTAGGGTTGACCTTTATACACATTGTACTGAGAATTATTTGAACTGTGGCATGTTGAATGAGAAATTATATCTGCTCAATTCAGTGTTCCAGTTCTGGCAGGTATGTAGGTACTCTGTTGCTTGATCGACTGAAACAAATGAAGCACAAGTCGTCTATATGTGAAGTAGTGTTAGTTTGTACATGGAATACCTAGAATTTCATGTGGCAAAGAGTGTTAGGTACTGTATGAACGACAGTTTGAGAGGCAAAAATATTTGGTAATGACAGAAGTGAGATTCTCTTGTTCTCAAGAATACAGAAGCCAAAAATCAGAACTTCTAAACTATTTGCCAACAGAGTAGCGTAATATTAACATCCCGCTGGAATAGGCTATGGAACAAAAGACCTGTCAATAAAAGAGCTAGGTCATTGTTTAACTTGTGGATTGCTATGTTAATACCAATGACAAATAGAACTAGCAATTGCTCTTGTTCGTCTTTCTTTTCCTCTCGGGCATTTCAAATAGCTAATATAAAATGGGAGCAGCATGTTTATGTAGTACTATAGTTTATGAAGTTTATCAAAACTCAATGGCTTTGTCATAGTATGCAAGTTTTAATCATCTATAGTTTGCATCCGTTACATGCGATTTCCCTTTGTGTTAGCCTTGATTTGTGTGGTCTTTTGAATCAATGCTGGCATTTGTGACGAAAAGATATGCGGAATGTGCTAATTGAGTTGCTGATCATGGTCGCATGTCATCCAGAATTGTGTCTCCAACGGGGTGGTTCTTTAAGGCATCCAAGTTGCTATAAATTAGTTAATTTTTGTCAAGAAAATATGTCCCTAAGAAGGAAGGATTGACTATTTATAAATAAATAGATGCGATGCTGATAAACCCAGTTTCATATATCAAGGAGAAATTAAAATTGGCCATGGTTAAGATATAACAACTGAATTTTGGAACTTGTTGCCATCACTTCCTTGCACTTTTCTTGGAATTCTTCTTGTTGTGTTAAGCCAATGCGGGTTTTGTGCTGACATTTTCTTGTGGTAATCCATCAGCTCTGCAGGACAGCCCAGGAACACCCCGAAATCTTATTCCTTAAAGTCAATTTTGATGAAAATAAGCCAATGTGTAAAAATTTGAATGTGAAAGTGCTTCCTTATTTTCACTTCTATCGTGGTGCTGATGGACAACTGGAGTCCTTTTCATGCTCACTTGTGAAGGTAAGTCTCTCAAATAATCTTACACGTGTTTCTGCAGCTGGTTTCGGTGAGATAGTTGTTGTGCTACGTTGGTAGAACTATCGGGAATTTGGATCGATGAAGTTGAGATGGGATAGTTTGACCTGCTAAAGGGGGACGAGAAAATTGGGTTTCAAGATGGGACTGCAGGATATTAAGGTGGTATTTGAGTCTGGATTAGTCGGTTAGATTTTCCTTCCGAAGTTTGGACAACAAAAATAGCTCAGGAATAGTCTGTTCAGTGGCTGCTCAAGGTCTACTCTATTCATGCCTTCCAACTTTAAAACCTGGTAACTAAATAGCTTACAGTCTGAAAGTAAGGATTGGTGATCTTCTAGGGTTCCTGAAATCGTGGACTGGGGCTGGGTAGTCTGAACAAGTAATGAGTTTCATGTGAATGTGGTCAAACAATTTTAAATCTTCACATATTTAGGTGGCGATGGTGTCTATGCAGAAACTTTAATTGCTACATCTACGATTGTTTGATGATACTTATGAAGCAGAGTTGCTGTTTAGGCATGAGGCCATGTTTCAGGAATCGTCTGTATGAATAATTGATCATGTAGCATATAATTAGGCGTGTTTTTTTATCATGCAAACTTAAACAAACAGCCGCGTCTGATCTTGTATTTGGTCTCACTTTGTTCTCCTGAATTATCTGTAGTTCCAAAAAATTAAGGATGCCATCCAAATGCATAACACTGAGCGTTGCAGCATTGGACCACCTAAAGGGGTCGGTGATCTTATTCTAGAACCTGCTTCTCCTTGGAAGGATAAATCGGCAGGAGCAACTTCTGCATAAAACTCTTATCATAAGGATCTGTCTAAATCAGCTATAGTGCAGCAAGCAGTCTCAATATGTATATTTACGCCAACACGGTGAAGCGACGTTCGTAAGTTGTTTTCTGATTGCATATTTGCAATTCTTGAAGAATTTTTGGCTTTGGCTATTGATGTATTTAGTTTGAAACATCAAATAGAAATGTAACTCTTGCTAGTATATTTCCTCTGATGATACCTCAGTAGATTTTTCCTGATCATTTTCTTGTCGCGAAGGGGGAGTTTCGGTGCATTTTTCTTGTCCAGACATAATTTCATTGAACATAGAATTGTCGAAAAGGAACTGGATAAACAAAAGGTTCATATATCTGTGACCCTTCGGCACGTTAGTAATTAGTATGTTCATTAATCTTTTCTCTTTTTAAGGAAGACAAACTAATGACTCGCTGTCCTTGTGTCTTCATCCATCAAACACGAAGGTAAACTGGTCAAGTCAGGTCTTTAGTGATGGCAAATCCTGCAGAGCATGAGTTCCTTGTTGAAAGCATGACCCTTTTGAAATTCTTTAAACTCTGTCCTTTCCGCTCTTTGTTTAATGTCAATGAGGATAGATAGCGAATGCCCGAGCAGTTTCGACCGCTGCGGTCTGGTGGTGGGAGAAAAGCACAACATCGAAGACTCCTGTCAATGGATAATAGAAGTAGGTCAAAACACACTATGCGATGTTAATTTTTAGTACTTGGATACTATCTTTTGTTGCTCACTCCGTAGTGTGTCATGTATTTTGTCCCCTCTGGTCATCCTCGGTTGTTTGTTGATTTTTCCTTATTTGAAGACCATGTAAACACGTATTGTTTGCTTCTGTTTTTGTCCGATCTTGTTTGCTGTCTGGTGTTTTCAATATCAGATCTATTCACTATCTTCTCGTCGCTGAATTTGATCATAGACGTGGACAAGAGGTGTCATCTCTTTGTTCTGCTTTTATTTTGGGCTCTCCAAAATCTCCCATGGTCTTGACCAAAAAAAAAAAAAAATCTGCCATCGAGGAGCCTGAATCAATCTCCAATTTAGAGTTTTCTCCATGAATTCCCACCAGTGCAAATCAAGAATCAACATTTAGCCATGTCCCATATGAAGGCCATCAATTCTCAAAGTGAGATTTCTCTGATCAGATTCACCCTTCACTATAACAAGCTTGAATGTGTTTCTCAAGCAAAAACACATACTTTTTGACTAATCTCGCGCCATGTTTGGAAAAACGAAAATTAGGTATCCCTGTTGGAAAAATAAAATTTGGAATTGACATTCAAATATGTCTTGAAGGATTACATAATATTTATAAACCCTTTAGATAACTAGAACGATTAAAAACTATCTTGATAACAAGCAACAATAAGTAACACAATTTCCTAGATAATAATTTCCAAGACTCTAAGTCTCTAGATAATAATTGCAAGGATCTAATTCACAAGATGAGCTTGGATTACGAAAAATCTTTTTTATTTCCAACAGCCTCCCTTAAACCGAGCTCATCTTGACCATGCTTTCTCTTGAGTTTAAGGAAGGAGTCCGTCTTCAACGGCTTAGTAAACATGTCAGCCACTTGGTCTTCCGACTTGCAAAACTGTAACACAATCTCCTCGGACTTCACTAGATCTCGAATGAAATGATACTTTATATCAATGTGCTTGCTTCTTCCATGAAAGACTAGATTCTTTGCAAGGGCAATTGCTGACTTATTATCACAATTAATCATGGTCGGATGCTTCTGCTTATGACGTAATTCAGCAAACATCAAATGTAGCCAAATTGCTTGAGTAGCACAATAAGCCTCTGCTATGTATTTCGCTTCCGCACTGGACAAAGCAACCACCTGTTGCTTCTTTGAGAACCAAGAAAAAATTCCATTTCCTAAAGAGAAAACATAACCAGAAGTACTCTTCCTTTCTCTAATATCACCTCCCCAATCACTGTCTGTATATCTCATAAGCTGAAAATCATTAGAAACAGTGTAGAATACACCATCATCCACGTTACCTTTAATGTACCGTAGAATTCTTTTTACCGCCTGCAAGTGTGATTGTCTATGAGTCTCCATACATCTGCTTACCATCCCAACACTATAAACAAGATCTGGCCGAGTAGAAGTCAAATATCGTAGACTCCCGACTAGCCTCTTGAAATATGTGGGATCGACTTCGGAGCCACTTCCATCTTTTGTCAACTTCAATCTTTCCTCCATTGGAGTGCTAATTGGTTTACAAGTAGCCATCTTGAAATGCTCAAGAATATCCTTGGCATACTTTTGTTGACAAATAAAAATACCATCCTCCGATTGTGTAATTTCTAGGCCGAGAAAATAATACATCAGACCCATGTCCGCCATCTCAAACTCACGAGTCATGGCCTCCCTGAAGTCAGAAATCATCTCTTGACAATTTTCGGTAAATATGAGATCATCAACATATAGGCAAACAATGAGCATCTCACCGTTCAAGCCAATCTTCACAATTAAAGCATGCTCATAAGAACATCGGTTAAAACCATGATTCATGAAATAAGAATCAATTCTGGTATACCATGCTCGCGATGCTTGCTTGAGACCGTAAGGAGCTTTCTTCAATTTGTAGACGAAACCCTCTTGTCCTTTCTTGACATACCCCTTGGGTTGGAAATAAAAAATATTTTTCGTAATCCAAGCTCATCTTGTGAATTGGATCCTTGTAATTATTAACTGGAGACTTGGAGTCTTGGAAATTATTATCTAGGAAATTGTGTTTACTTATTGTTGCTTGTTTTCAAGATAGTTTTTAATTGTTCTAGTTATCTGAAGGGTCTATAAATATTATGTAATTCTTCAAGACATATTTGAATATCAATTCCAAATTTTATTTTTCCAACATTTGGTATCAGAGCTAGTTTTGTTTGAGTTTTGTGAATTCGGCTTAGAAAATCTCGTGTCACATGGCCTCTGTGAATTGTGCCGAGACAATCCAACCTCAACTCCCAAGGTTCGATGGGAAGAATTTTGAGCATTGGAAGATCCAGATGGAGGTGCTATTCGGGTTTCAGGAGCTGACTGAGATTGTGGAAAAATGATTCGTGGAGCCAGAAACGCCGACAGATTTGACAACGGAGGAGCAGAGGACAATAAAAGAAAATCACAAGAAAGATCGTAAGGCTCTCTTTTACATCTTTCAATCAATAGATTCGTCAATCTTTGAAAAAGTGGCGAATTCGAAGACGCCAAAAGAAGCTTGGGACTCTCTCATCAAAATATACAAAGGTGTTAAGAAGGTCCAGAAGGTTCGACTTCAGACTCTTCGTCGACAATTCGAGCTCCTTCAAATGGAAAAGTCGGAGTCCAATTCCAACTATTTCTCACGGACATTGGCTCTTGTCAATCAAATGAAGGCCAATGGTGAGACAATTGGTGACTAACAGATCGTTGAGAAGATTCTTCGGACACTAAATTTGCAGTTCAAATATATTGTGACTTCCATTGAAGAGTCTCGGGATCTCTCTATTTTGGCCGTTGATGAGTTGATGGGCTCTCTACAAATGCACGAGCAACGACTCAAGGAGAAATCTAAGACGGTAGAGGAAGCTCTACAAAGCTAGTTGGTGTTGCCCGATGAAAAGAAGAAACTTTCTAATCAAAGGAAAGATAAAAAGTGGCAAGAGAAGCATTCTGGACAACGAAAAGATAAGTCCCATATTCAGTGTTTTAATTGTAAAAAGTATAGGCATTACCAATCTGATTGTCGAAGCAAGAAAGTTGGTGGTCAAAAGTTTCATGCCGAGATAGCAAGATTTGTTGATAGCAATGATGAGCATGATAATGCTCTTTTATTCACGTGTGATGCTGCGGTGGAAAACCAGAAGAACGTTTGGTACTTAAACACCAGATGAAGCAATCATATGTGTGGCGAGAAGGAATTATTCTCAAAACTTGATGACACCTTTCGTTCGGAGGTGAGGTTCGGGAATAATGTCAAAGTTCCTATCATGGGAAAGGGGACAATTAAAATCAAGGCGAAGGATGGGTCGGTTCAAAGCATTTCCGACGTTCATTATGTTCCTGGTCTTCAAGAAAATCTCCCAAGCATGGGACAATTGTCCAAGCGAGGCTATCACATGACCATTAAGGATGAGCTTTGCACGATTCATGATGGCAAAGGAGGGTTGATTGAGAAGGTAAAAATGGCTCGAAATCGACTTTTTCCTTTGTATATTAATTATGCTACCTCGTGTTTTAGTGCCTCGGTGCAAGATTCTTCATGGCTTTGGCGCAAGCGGTTCGGGCATGTGAATTTTGACAGCTTGAAGCTGTTGTCTCGAAAGAAGATGGTGCGTGGACTACCTGAAATTTCTTCTCCGAAGGGGATATGTGAACCATGTGTTATTGGAAAAAAGTGCAAAGAAAGTTTCCCTTCGGGACAATCATGGAGAGCTTCAAAGCCATTGGAGTTAGTGCACTCCGACCTCTGCGAACCGCTCGGTGAATCGTCAAATCGGGGGTACAAGTATTTTGTTACCTTCATCGATGACTTTAGCCGGAAAACATAGGTTTATTTCTTGAAGCACAAGTCCGACGCCATTGATGCTTTCAAGGAGTTCAAAGCCTGGGCACCAAATTCGGATTCTCCGAACTGATCGTGGCACAGAATATTTGGTTGGTGATGGCTTCTTCAAACAGTGCAGCATCAAGCATCAATTGGCAGCACGGTATACTCCTCTACAGAACGGAGTAGCGGAAAGAAAAAACCGCACTATTGTTTATATGGTTTGTACCATGCTTTGTTCCAAATAATTGCCTAAGCATTTCTGGGCGAAGGCGATTGCTTGTGCTGTTTACTTGTTGAATCGGTGTCCTACTAAAGGTCTTGAGTTCAAGACTCTGGCGGAGGTGTGGAGTGGTTGAACCCCTTCAGTTCAGCATCTTCGCATGTTTGGGTGTATCGCTTATGCCCATGTGCCAAATGAGCTTTGCAAGAAGCTTGATGAGAAGAGTGAGAAGTGCATCTTCCTTGGTTACAGTAATGAAACAAAGGTTATCGGTTGTATAATCCGGTAACAAAGAAGGTGGTTATCAGTTGAGATGTCACCTTTGATGAGGAAGGTGAGTGGACTTGGAGCACGGAGGAGAAGAAGCAGTTTCACTTTGTCCTGGACTAGAAGTTGGTTCAACCCGATTCAGATAGTCAATCTGAATTAGTAGCAGCATCAGTGCAACCTGATCTAATAGCAGAGAATCAGTCGGATTTTGCTGAAACGTCCTCACGTCCACGGCGAGAACGAGTTTTACCGGCTCGTTTGAGGAATTGTGTTTTGTCCAATGATGATGATCCCTTTGATGAAGAAATTATTAATTTTGCTCTCTTTGCAGATTGTGATCCGACAAACTTTAAGGAGGCTTCCCAAGATGATGGTTGGGTCCGCGCTATGGATGATGAGATATATGGGATTGAGAAAAATGATACGTGGGAGTTCACTTCTCTTCCAGAAGGCAAGAAGTCCATCTGCATGAAATGGGTCTATAAGACCAAGTACAAGCCTAATGGTGATGTTAATCGGTTGAAGGTTCGTCTTGTAGTCAAGGGTTACAAACAAAAACTCGGGATTGACTATTTTGAGGTATTTGCTCCGGTTGCAAGAATGAAAACTATTCACGTGATCTTTGCTTTGGCCGCTCAAAGACGTTGGAAAATACACCAAATGAATATCAAGTCCACATTTCTCAATGGCGTACTTAAGGAGGAAGTGTATGTGGATCAACCCGAAAGGTATGTCAATAAAGGACAAGAGGGTTTCGTCTACAAATTGAAGATAGCTCTTTACGGTCTCAAGCAAGCACCGCGAGCATGGTATACCACGTGTTGACAATTTTGTGTCAAGTGTCGATGTCCTAGTCCCTCCCCATTGAGAGATCACAACTCTGCAAAATTCTACATAAACATTGTCCCGAATCACAGATCCAAGTTTCCATTATGTTTTTTTCAAATGGGTAAATAACTCAATGCTCGGTGACTTCAAACATTACGTATGTGATTTCTTAGATAGCAAAGCCCACGGATTCCATGAAAACCGTCCTTGCTACCGAAATCAATCTATTCCAAACCTTGGTACGCAAACCGAACCGTCATCTGGAATCCTTGGCCAACGTTCTCTGCGTGTGCGCGCGAGAGAACTCCAAGGGGGATGCATCCAAAATACCGGTGGGGGTTGTTCTTGACTCTGCAAATCCCAATCAATCAAAAAGAGAGTTTCCTGAAGAAGTCGCAATGTTGGAAGTCCAAGTCCCACACTCACTCTAATCACACACAGGAACAAACAGAGAGGGTGGACCATTTTCACTTAAAATAATCCCGGAATTGCTGTCGATACCGATCCTGTGCTCGGGGATATCGGAATCTTTGCTGCTTTTAGGAAGGTTCGTAGACGCATTACTCTTAAACAAAAGAAAAGGGAAAAGAAAGCCGGGGTCACTTTCGCCCTCCTTTCGTGCATCTGCAAGATTACAAACCAGCACAGCTCAGACATCCATGATCAAGCCCACGACTTCTACAGCTAGTCAACTTCGCTGCTTTGCAAAGAATATTCGTTCATATGGATGACCCAATTCAACTGACATTTGCTCGTTTCAGAGACATACAGCCATGAAGAAAATGTGGGTTATGCCGAGCGAGGAAGGAAGGATGGACGAAGGGGGGAAGAGATACCCATCATTCTTCACTTGGGAACGAATCTTTCCTCACCACTTTGGTGCAGAATACTTAAAGAGAGACTCTTTCTTTAAGCCAGAGATTTCTTTCCCTGTGCTTGACAGCTAAAATTTGTGAATTATATGATATTGTAATCTGATCTGATCCTGTCCCCTCGCAATCATATCCAAGATTTCATTTTCATCGCTCTGATTTCAGATCAGCATGCTAATAATTCAGCCTTAAAAAGGGAAACAAGAAACAGAGTCGAGAACGCTAGTTTTTCTTTCCTTTGGGGAGGGCCCAAAGCAACACGGGTCGAGTTCGTTCGCCATTTGCACATCGATATCAAGATTCAAGATTCAGACAGAACCCACCACCCATCTCGACCCGACCCGACCCGCTAGCCCGACCGACAGTGGACCACCCGGAAGTCGCACTTGGGCGACACCAGCCCCATCAGGAGCCTCGCCGTGTTCTCCTGCCGCACCACCGCGCCCTCCTTCTCCACCAGCACGGCGCCCACGATCCCGTCGTACCCGCCGCCCCCTCCGGCCACGTACGCCACCAGCGCCGCCTGCACGGGGCCGAGGCTCGGGTTGTACGCCGCCGACTCCGCGTACGAGCCCTTGTACACCTTCCCCTCGCGGTCCACGATCGCCACCCCGGACGGGCACTTGCTGTACGGCGCGTGCGACTCGTTCGCCGCCTCCAGCGCCGCGGCCGCGAGCTCGTCGGCCTCGGGCCCGTCGCAGAAGCCGTTGCAGGAGGACCCGCGGTCCGGGTTCGGGCTCCGGGTCAAGAACGTCAGCCCGTTGTGGTGGGGCTCCAGGAGGAGCGGCACCTCCTTGTCGAGGAGATCGTCCGGCCCGAACCGCCGGGGGAGGAGACGGGACAATGGGCCGAACGCCGGGTCCGGTGCTTGGTCCGGGTCGTCCACGGGGAAGACGCGGATTTGGATATCGGGGGCGTCGCGGATCTCTTGGAAGAACTGGCGGCAGTGGCCGCAGGGGGTGGAGGAGACGGCGAAGGCGAGGAGGCGCCGCTCCCGGTGGAGCGCGAGGTTTGTGGCGAGGAACTGCTCGGCGTGGACGGAGTGGTGGAGGGGGAGGCCCGGGAACTCGAGGTTGACGCCGAGGAAGATCCGGCCGGAGGGGCCGAGGCCGACGGCGCCGACGTGGTAGCGGGAGATGGGGGTGCGGGCGAGGGGCTTGGCGGCGCCGACGAGGGTGGGGAGGAGGTCCGTCAGGGCGAGCCCCGCGTCCTTGGCCATGGCCGCGGCCTCGCAGGCTTCGATGACGAATCTAGGCGGCGGGTCCATGAGCCGGGTCGGGTCCGTCGCCGGAGTTTTGTGGTGGGTAATGGATTTCCCTGAGAACGGGGAAGAGGAAGGAGAGAGGAGGAGGAGGGGGAGGGGGAGGGATTATGATGTAGAGGGCCACTATTTATAGATGATGACAAGTCATATTTATTTATTTATTTATTTATTATTATTATTATTATTATTTTGGGTAATCAAGCACTTCTTTGGCACACTCTATAATTAAAATATTTTATAAAATTTTTCAAAGTGGACGAATGATTTTGCTGGTGACCAAATATTGGGAGGAGATTTTACCATATCCCCCCTCCTCAAAATTGGGAGGAGGGTAAATGGCGAGTTTTGACCACAAAGCTAATCATGAAACAGGCGGCTCAATCGAGATTATCGAGCCCGATCGCAGGGCAGGGATTCTCTTCTCGAGGCTTGACTTGATTGTCTTGGCTCACTCAGGGTGATTTTGTGAGCACGTGTATGAGAGAAATCAAATGAGTTTGTAGGTCCACGGAGCGCAGAGCCCCCGTCCACCGCTTCTACTACTCGGGGCATGAGAGAAACTACTTCATTGTATTCATCCAATTTGGCATGCATAGTTGTTTTTTATTTTTTATTTTGTGGTGTTGAACATTTAATTGGGATGGAAGTAACGTTAGACTAGAGTCAAATTCATTTCAAGATTCCAGTGGGACTTTGGTGCATAAACCTGTCAAACGGTGGATCGGGTCGGGTTTGACTCTGGTCGAAAATGGTCCGATCAAAATAGACTCATTTTCATGTAATGAAAATCTAATGACCCATGCTCGATCCATATCCAACCTAACCTATATTACTAAAACATTTTCTTATTTAATTCAATCTAGGAAAACTCGTACCCAAATTAAGATGAGAGTGCAAAGTGAGTAAGCGGCGAGAACGATAAGTTGAGTTTAACTAAGTTGTAAACCCATTTACGATCAATTTATGACTCATTAATACATATATATTATGTTTATACCAATTTATGACATATTTAGTGAATATAACTAACTTATTTTTGATCAATTTACTAATATATGGATTAAGAATTGGATTTATAATCCATTTTAACAGGTCTAGTGGTGCATAAATGCCAAAATGTGGCGATGCGAACATTCTTTTGAACATTTGCAAAGAGGTAACCACACATATCCTCATAAGAGGACATCTAAAACTTTACCTAGAATAGAGGGAAAGAAAAAAGGTAAGCCGAAAACTTAGAAAGCAATACCGCTTTTCTTTGTTATTTTCTAATCTTCAATTAGTATATAACTATCTCGAAAAATACAAAAAAATGTAATACCAATGTTAAAAGTACAAGGAAAGAGATAAGCATGCCCTCGTCGGATAAATGAATGGTCTGACTAGATCTCAATCACAAAAGGCATTATAAAATGTCTGAAAAGTCATTCGCCCACACCGACCATTGCACCAAAGTAGTCCAAAGTTGATAATAATGGAAGTGCACAATGGCTCGGATTAGGGTTTCTTCCTAGGCCAACCTACAAACACACATGTCGCGTGAGATTATTGTCCAATCGATCCTAAATTTATTGCGTAGATGTCAATTCGGTTATTAACTTTCCAATTTTTCTAAGTTAGTCCTAAAATTTTTCGCGAAATTACAATGTAGTCCTTCCGGCCAATATTTCGAGAATCATTGATGTGGTGGTGTGCCACATAGAATGGCTGACAACGACTAGAACGTCTAATTGAAGGGACTACATTAAAATTTAGTATAAAGGTTTAGGATTAAATTGACATAATTGAAAAGTTTAAGATTTAGGACTGATTGGGTAAGTTTCCTCTCGTCACACTTATGTCATCTGCTTTATTGCTTCCAATCAATCGGCGGAATTTCTTCTAGTGTTGCAGAATTAGGATATAGTTAGGATTGGGGCATCTAGTTCTTATGTTCCACATTTCGCATCTCATTCATGGATAGTGCAATGGTCACATGTAGCATCCTATAGTTAGAATGTTTTGTACTCTTTAGAATATGCTTTGTGTCGCGTGTGTGTGTGTTTGTTTTAGAAAATATAAAATTAACGGTCTAATGTTTGTTTCGTGGATTTTACGCTATATATGTTGTACTAGTTAATGCAATAGCAAAAGACACGACTAACATGTGAAATTATGTGATTATGATAGGCAAAGCATGCGTCGTTCGTGCAATAAATTTTATTGTACCTAATCTAATTGAGTCCCCTAATTAAAGTCCAAAGCACGACATCTTTTTCACAAGGCGACAACAAAGAGTTTTGTTGAGTGAATGCACGAACTTCGGCAAAAGAAGACATGTCCCGAGTCATGATGACCTTAGTCATAGAGGATGTGCGACGCACTTACGTATCTTCATGTGGCATTTTTATAGTTGTTGTAGAGCATAATGGAGAGCAACGGATACCTACACCTCTTTTTTATTTTAAAGTAATGGTATGGAACAATAGTTGTGTCAACTTGTTAACACCAAAAAAATACCCGAATATTTTGGTCGACGGTTCAATCGATGGGTGCCGGTTAGCAACCGACGGCGAAAGAGGAAATGGGCATTGGAGTTGGACGGCCGGTGAAGTGAAACTGGGTTTCAACAAGGAGACAAAATGTTGGTCGACCGAGATGCTGGGAATGAAACAGTTTAGAGCTAAAGCAGGGGGTCGACGGACGTAGTATATCGGTCAACTGAAATGAGTGTAGGATGTAATTGTCAAGATGTGGAGTCGATAATCTCGGGAGCTATAACCATATGTAGATAAGGGCTGCTGAACAATGGGAGCCACGTATGGCAAGTTTTTTAATACTTAGTAACTTTCTATATAACTGTCGACTACATATTATGAATACTCGAGATATATTCTTTGTACGGTTAATATCACGAAAAACTCTAAATTTGTGCACCTGTAACAAGTTTACCTCTAAAATATGTCACTAGTGTACCAGTTTGGGGTTTTTGATAATCCAAAAATTAGTTTGGGGTAAATTTATTACAAGAATACAGGTTTAGGGTTTTTGGTGACCCAAAAATTAGTTGAGTAAATTTGTCACGTATGCATCAGCTTGGGATTTTTCGCGGTATTAATCATTCTTTGTAAAGCCGATCAATCAATCCAAGAATACACGTTGCCCATCTTTATTCTTAGTGTGTTTTACATTTCCAGTACACTATACATTGTCGAAAACTACTGTTTCCAATATCTGTGCCTTTAAATTCTACGCCATTTACATTTCCCGTCCAAGAATCATCAGGACCCTTTGAACCTTCGTCAATCGGACCAGTTCATTGAATCTTTCGCTCTCTCGGTGAAACGCGACTTCACGCCGCGGGTCACCTGCCCGAATTCAAAAACCAAGTACTAGGATGCCATATCTAACCGTAAAATGGACCCCAAGAGAGATTGAGATCTTGTAAGTCTCTTTCGTTGGGATCTTTGGAGATGGTTTGATTGTCCAGGGTTTCCCATTAGTCAAAAGAAATTACGTATGATTCATCAGCATTCACGTTTGCTTTCCATTTGAAGGTCAAATCAACTTTAAGCATGAGTACAAAGAAGCAACGCAAGGGCGTTTTGTAGAAAGTCTTCCCCCTCTCCCATGACATGTGTATTTTTTTCTTTTTTTAGTGGTGATGATTGATCATCTATGGATGAATATGCACGACGTACTTTCAACAGGAAATAATGGGGTTAGAAGTATCCTGTAAACCATATGAACTGGTCAAATTATAAGAAATAATGAGGTTAGAAATATCCTGCAAACCACGTGAACTGGTTAAATTCAGACGTTTGGCAAGTGAAAACATAAAATTGGTGAAATTCGAATGAGTGAGCTTCGGTTCGCGAGCTGAAAATCCCTCGACGCCTCAACCAACCATAAAAATAAAAGAATCGTTCAGGGTGTGTTTGTTTCACTAAAACTTCATAATAAAGGAATGTATTTTCCATGGAAGTTTTCATTTGTTTGATGAGTTTAGGGAAAGTGATTTCCTTCTTGCCAGAAAAGGAAGTTGTTTTCTGATGCCAAAGCGCGATAGAAATTAGGCTAAACAGAAGAATCGAAACGATAATGAGGAACAAACTGTTCTCTCAATCGATTAACAATCGATAAGTTTTCAAAATATCCAAAAACTACTGCCTCTCAAAACCCTAAAAACGAGTTTATAAAGGGTGTTAACCCTAATGACAAAAAAACGCAAAAAATACACAAAATACACTTAATTCGAAAATTACTAAAATAATTTAAAAAACCATCTAAACGACCTCGAATCGCGAAAATCCATCGTTAATCGTAGCCAAAGGCTACAAGTATTGATCAGCACACCGTTTTGCTTCGGCCGACCAAATCTGAACTCAATCCGACATCGTTGACTTCAAGCCCGCCGGTTCGTCCAGTCGCATAACGGGTCCACCGGTCCCCTAGGTGCATCATCCTCCCCTGCTAGAGAAAGATTCGTCCTCGAATCTGCTTCGTCTTCATTGTCGTCAATCTCTTCAGGGTCTTCTTCCTCTTCAGTGTAGTAAGGTGACAAATCTGCTACATTAAAAGTTCCAGAAACATTGTGCTCACCCGGCAACCCAGGTGGCAACTCTTCCGGTACGACATCAGCAAACTCCTCAAGCAAGGGCAGAACTTGGGTAGGAATTTCGGGACTGTCAAACTTCCGCTCTATCACCACAATGGCAAAAAGCTCAGGCGCGTTCACTGCCTCTTCTAGAAATTCTGACCTGGACAGCAGATTATTCTTCACTTCCTTTCTCAAATCTGAAGGACCCAGAGTAATGGTTCGGCCATCCTTCTTGAAGGTGTATGTATTTTTGAATCCGCCATGCTGTGTTTTCCTGTCAAACTGCCAAGGTCTTCCTAATAGAATATGACAAGCATCCATTCGAACTACGTCACCCCACACTTCATCAGTATATTTCTTCCCAATCGAGAACTACACTAAACACCTCTTGCTCACTTTTACCTCGTTCCCTTTCCTAAGCCATGACAGCTTATATGGTTGAGAATGTTCGACAGTTTTCAACCCCAACTTTTCTACCATAGTGGTAGATATTACATTCTTGCAACTTCCCCCGTCAATTATCATACTACACACCTTCCCCCCATTAGTACACTTAGTATGAAAGATATTATATCTAAGCCATGATTCATCATCCGCTACAGCAACATTTAATATTCTTCTAACGACTAGGGACTCACCAGAATCAGCATAGATAATCCCTTCCTGTTCCGCATCCGCATCCTCTTCTTCGCCTTCAGATTCATCATAAACTGGACCTTCATTAGAGACTGGATTATCAACAAGCGTCACAATCTATCGGTTCGGACAATCAACAGCAAAATGCCCGAATCCCTGACACTTGAAACACCGCTTGGCTACAGTTCCTCCCCTGCTAGTTCTAGCACTACTCTGCCCCTCGTTGGATGCAGGTTTAGAACTCACATCCTTAACTGTGACCGGTGTCGAATTTACCGCAGATTGTCCCGCTTTTCCTTGGGATTCTTTATCTGACCACTTGGAATTGCTGCCTGACCACTTAGAATTACTGCTCTTTCTTTTAAACTGCCCCTCCACCTTTAGGGCTAGTCTCCACACATCCTCATATGTCCAATACCGTGTAATTGGACAACATCGAAGATCTCATATCGCAGCCTTGCCGGATATTGTGCAATCGTCTGCTTCGTCTTCCTCCGCCACATCACAACGCATCCGCAAGCAATCAAATTCTTCTGTAAATTCCTCAACTATTTTATCACCTTGCTTGACGTTATGATACTAGATAAACGCCTCTTGCCTATAATGGGTAGGCAAAAAAAATTTCTACAATAACTTTTTCATCTTCTCCCAGCGATCCACCTTCGACTTCCCCTCTCTAGTGCGTTGCTTTTTCACGTGTTCCCACCAAATCGAAGCATGTTTTCGCAGCCTAATAGCCACTAACTTCACTTTTTGCCCCTCAGTTAGGTCTTTAAGATCAAAAATCTGTTCTACCATATGCAACCAATCAATAAACTCATCAGGATGAGCCTTACCATTAAACTCGGGAATCTCGATCTTCATCCCGAAAATTTGCGAAGGGCGCTGATTTCTAGGTCGTACTCCTCGATTCCGCCTCGGTTCGGAACCCCAAAAGGGTTTACGTCCTCCTCTTCATCATCGGATGGATCCTCGATTCTCGCTTCTTCTTCGGATTGAACGCCTAACCTCGCCTCCGCAAGTTGTCGCTCCAAATCCTAGATTCATCTTCTCTGTTGTTCAATTTCTACGTCTCGCAGATCTCTTAGACGCGGTTGGTCGTCTGCTTCAAGAACGCCTCCACGCCCCCGGCCACCACGAGCCCGCCATCCACGACCGCGATTCTGTTCAGCCATTGATTCAAGCAACCTGTGCTCTGATACCAATTGATGCCGAAGCGCGATAGAAATTAGGCTAAACAGAAGAATCGAAACAATAACGAGGAACAAACTGTTCTCTTAATCGATTAACAATCGATAAGTTTTCAAAACATCCAAAAACTACTGCCTCTCAAAACCCTAAAAACGAGTTTATAAAGGGTGTTAACCCTAATGACAAAAAAAAACGCAAAAAATACAAAAATACCCTTAATTCGAAAATTACTAAAATAATTAAAAAAATCATCTAAACGACCCCGAATCGCGAAAATCCATCGTTAATCGTAGCCAAAGGCTACGTGTATTGATCAGCACGCCGTTTCGCTTCGGCCGACCAAATCTGAACTCAATCCGACATCGTTGACTTCAGCCGTCGGTTCGTCATCGCATAACGGCCCGCCGGCCCCTAGGTGCATCATTTTCTCTCAATTTAAACTTGTTGTTTTCAATCTATGGAGAACATTTACTGTAAATCGATTAACTTTTCATCATCAAAACACCGGAAAGTCGAAACATAATTTTTTGTAAATATTTTTTCTTCAAACAAACGGACCCAAGCCACAGATTATTTTTAGAATGATTACTGTTGTACCAAACAAAAGTGGTCGTCTGGATAGCACTAACGTGTCGAAAGAAAAAAGGGGAATCCATGTCACAATTTGATCAACTTCTCCAAATGCAGGGCATAAGGGACATATGCTGTAGCCAACTGATGATGACATTGGATTCACATTAAGAAAACAACAATCTGTACTTGTAGTTGCTGCTAGCTTGCAAGCATTTGTTAATTGTTCTTCTTTTTTTATCTGTTATCTTATTCACTGAGTTTGGAACTTGCCATGCAATTGTCCATCTCTCTAGAGCTCTGCGATTGGCCCCACTCTCTCACCTACCTCTCTCTCTCTCTCTCTCTCTCTCTCTCTCTCTCTCTCTCTATGAGTACAAATGTATGATTGCTTGAGTTTCTGTCTGGCTGATTCATGTTTAACATGCTGTAATCAGAGAAGTTGTCTGTATGTGATGGGAGATGAAAGTGATGGAGGAACCATATGTGGAGGTGAAACTTGATTTCCATTTCATTTTCCAATGTGGCTTTGATTTGCATGTCCCTCTAAATATGTAGCTAGGGTTCTTCGGTTAGCAAATTACGCGTTCTAATCGAAGGTTTGAGAAAGGATCACCTTGCCTAGCTTGCCTTACAAAAGACTCGCCCATCTCGTGAACCAATACGCTCCACACCCGGTTGCAAAACATTCAACTCATATAATACTCAGTTCGCACGCTCTATAATTATCAATAATTTCACTTTCTCATAATTAGGGTTTGCACTAATCCATGTAGTAACGTACACGCACCTACTTATGTACTCACATCTTTTGTACGTCCATGCACTCACATACAAATGAGATGCTCAATTTTATAATCACCGACTTGGTATCCGGGGTCGGCTTTTCGAGGACCACAGTATCATAAATTGCCCTCAATAAGAGAAGCTACCTAAGTTAATCACCGTTGACCTTGGAACTTTGCGTGCATGTCTGCCAATGCATGATTCTCCAAAAGCAGCTGCATTGTGCTCCCACCTACCACTCCAATGTGTGCGAAATTGATCTGTGGTTAGCTTGGCTGCTTGCATTTGATTAATCAAAATCGTTAAAAAGGAATACAAAAAGGGAAGCTTGGTGAAGATGTTGAACTTTTTAGTTTAAGGTGCTTCTTTATGTCGGAATGTGTGGTGGAGAGCATCGTTCGCCCCACTTCTACTTGTCGTGTTCTATTCTTTATGTAGGTGGGAAAAAGAAACTATTTCCAGTTGGGGGAACGAAAAAAACATGCTTTGTTCTTGTTCATCAAGTGAAAAAGATCAGGAAGTATTCGTCGCATTTTTGAAAGGGTTGATACCATAAAAAACTTTAAACTGATACATATATGATAAATTTATCCTAAATTAATTTTCTGGTCACCAAAAACCCCAAACCTGTACACCTATGACAAATTAACCTTTCGTTAATTTCCATTAAATTTTACCGTCAAATTACCCAGTTGGATGATATGTGGCAGTTGATGGGTGTACCAGTTTAGGGTTTTACTCCTCTGTTTGTCACAAATTTACCAATTTATGATTTTTTGTGGTATTAATTTAATTTTAACGGAGGGTAAATTTGTCATAAGTTTATCAGTTTGAGGTTTTTTGTGGTAAAAAAATTAGTTTAGGGTAAATTTGTCATAGGTGTACAAGTTTGGTATTTTTTGTGGTCAAAAAATTAGTTTGGGATAAATTTATTATAAATGTACCGGTTTAGAGTTTTTCATGGTATTAACTCTTTTCAAGTTAACTTTCTAAAAAAAAGTCAAGGAGTTGTTATTTCAATTTTTGAAAAGTCAAGATTAAAATTTTTTAGAAGTTATATGTGAATTCATAGTGAAAAGCCAGAAGTAAAAATCACTCCAAACAAGCAACCTCTATAGTTGTTTGATGTTCGAAAAGAATTGGTGACTCGGGCTGTCTTAAGTGATTTTTATTTTTTATTTTTGCTTCTTTCAAATCATGGTAGTGCACTCATTTTAGCTTTTTCTATCTTAAGCAAAATTTCAAATATTCGCTCTTGTTCACATAATTTCTTTTTATATAAAATTAATCCAAGTTGGAATAAAATTATCCCACCCCTAGGGCCAAGATAGATTATATCCAACTCTTTATCCACGGACCTTTACGAGTTTATTCAATCCAAGTGTATTGCCAAATGTTAGATATGATCGATTATATCCTATCCGGCCTTTTGTCCGGGTCACGAGTGCAGTACGATCTCCAGCTGACCCACCCAATTATTTCATAGAGAGATGGGCTAATAGACAACAAATATTGTTACCCAAACCAAAAGTGCTTAAGCTTAAATCCAATTATTGTACTTTCTGGCCCAACCAATAATGAATGCACTCCCTTCTTTAGCAAAAAATGTGAGAAATGTTACTAAACACACTTATGGAACAATAAGTGCTGATGTTTTCAAATACTGAAAAAGAAAATCAAAAGCTGTCTGATTATGCCTGAAAACTAGATAATAAAGATTGAATAGTACGCATTATTAGAAGATTTTGACAATATGGTCGATAATATTGTAATCAAGAAGCATCAATTACAAGAGAAAGAAAGCGCAATACTTTGGCTTGATTATACAAATATTAATATCACGAAAAACCTCAAACTGCACATCCGTGATAAATTTGCCACAAACTAATATTTTGACCTTCAAAAACCCCAAATTAATACATTTGCGATAAATTTTCTCTCTGTTAAATTGAATTAATATCATGAAAAAATAAAAACCGGTACACCTGTGACAAACAGAGGAGAAAACCTCAAACCGATATACCCATCAATTGCCACGTGCTATCCAACTTAGAAATTTGACGGTAAAATTTAACGAAAACTAACATAAGATAAAATTATCATAATTATACTAATATGGGGTTTAATTTGAGATAAATTTATTACGAATGTATCGATTTTGAGTTTTTCGTTATATTAACTCATATATAAAACATGATCCTTGGCTCGAACTCGATTGAGCCCAAATGTCTTCAATGTTCCATAAGGCCACGAACGTGCAACTTCTACCACTCACAAACGAAGGAGGAGATGGCCAATTATCTCCAGCTGAGGCCACACCCAAGTGCTCCCCGCATTTTGGCGGGCGTTCGTTCGCTCCCTCCTTCTTCAGCTCCGCTTCTTCCCACCTGTTGTGCTCTTGATTCGACTCGCAACGCATTCGCCAAGCGCAAGACCGCCTTCAGACCAGCCCGGCGCTTGGTCTTAGGCCTCGGAGCTTCGTTCTGGGCTCAGTCCATGGCCACGTCCGGCGCATTTGGCGGGAAATCATTCCTCGCCTCCGCCAGGCCTTCTTCGAGCGTCGAGCAGGTGACGGCCCTTTTTCTTGCACCGGGGGCTTCTGGCCATCTTCCGGGGTTGTTTCTTGATTTTTCTCTGTTGGGCATTCCGTTTCTTGGATTTTGATCGTGGTTGTTGAGAATTTCTGGAGTTCGTTTCTTTCATTTCTTGATTGGGGTACGTTTTGAAATTCTGGGTTTCTTTAGAATCTGTGGTTTTGGTGGTTACCCTGTGAATAAAGTGATTGCGTTATTGTAGAAGAGTCTATTGAGTAGTTCAATTTGGTGGTGCTCATGAAGCTTGCTTGGAGAACCAGCCTTCTGCATTTAAAGTTGCAGAAATTTCTAAAGATTATATGTGGAGGATGAGGCTGTAAGTAAACTGCGGTCCATATTGTTGAGGGGGAAAAATTATTTTGCTTCACTTAACTTGCTATTCGAGATGGTGACCGCCGGGTGTCTGAATTTTTCTTAGGGCACATATTAATATACTGGCAGTGATCACACAAAATCTCATATGATATCACAGCTGGAGGTCCTAAATTAAAATCTTTTTAAGCTCCATTTACCTCCCCAATTAAATATGTCCATGTTTAGTACTAGGCAAAAAGATTAAACTAAGCGTGAGGGGGAGTGTTAGAATATTTAAATGATAAACCACGTCTTTATCTAATAGCTTAAATTTTTAGAACGGTTGGCAGTGGACCAAAATTCCACGTGCCGCCGCTCATACTCCGGCTTGCACGTGAGAGGGGTTATTGTACCACAGTACTTGACAACAGGTCCTAAATGCTCTGTATATTCATGTGGTCTCTCTCTATCTAACAGACTAAAGCTTTTGGATTGGATTTTCTAACAATCTACAACAACCCAATGAAACCTTTTCTTACACTAGGTTGCTTGTCAATGATTCGCTGTCTTTTTGCTTCTTTTATTTCTTTTCTCTGAACATGATTGGTCTTGATTTAAATGAGGATCCTATAGGTATTGAAGAATGTGGAATGGCCAGAACAATTTCCGTTCAAAGAGGAGGGTTTTCAGCGCTTTGATGAGTAACTTCTTTAACTTGAACTTCTGTTGGAAGTGGATTCTGTTCTAAATCAGCAGACATTTTCTCCTTAATGTGCTTATTGATTTGCATTCATTTCATACTTCAATTTCACTGGATTCATCATGTTCTGAAGCTCTTTTTTATGCTCTCTTCATGTGAACAAGAATTCTCACTAAGGGCGATGGAGATTCTTTTGTTTTTTTAACGCAAAAGTATCCTCACATGATTACACTTTGAATGATAAGACAAGGTTCAAAGTGACTGTCATGCAGCCACACCAGCTTAGAGACATAATAATCACAATGTTATGATTATAACGTGGACTTATTGCTGACTTGAGATGATTCCTGCCGGGTCTTCTATCTTATTAGATCAGCACACTACTAGGTCATAGTTGCACGTGCAATATGTGAAAATGCAAGAATTTTTTTTTTTGTCAATATCCTACTTGTGTAGTTATGGTGCTGGCTTTTATAGCTTTTTGTACTAAGAAAGTTGCGTCTCTTTAGGGCAGATCTTCAGATTCTTCATTCTATGAGGCGCCTCGTTTTGTGACACATATAGATGATCCAGCCATTGCTGCACTTACTAAGTTTTACTCAAGGGTCTTACCACCTAGCAACAGTCCTGGAGTCAGCATCCTCGATATGTGTAGCAGTTGGGTAAGACATTCTATTTCAAAACCAGCCTCTCAATACATTCTTATTTCTAACCTGACAATCCTTTATCTGCTAAATATCTAGATAAGCCATTATCCAGCAGGATACAAGCAAGAGAGGATAGTAGGAATGGGAATGAATGAGGAAGAGCTCAAGCGGAATTCGGTGAGGCTTTATTGTCTAGTCGAACTATTTTGTCTGGATAAAAAAGAGGGATTGTTTTATGTTTTGGATACTATGTTCTAATTGTGTATAAGGAGATCATCTTAAGTCCAGCCACTGGTTCTGTAGGTCCTGACTGAATACATTGTCCAAGACTTGAATGTGAATCCTAAACTTCCATTTGAAGATAATTCCTTCGACGTCATCACCAATGTGGTAAGAAAAATTTCTCCTTCTGGAGGATAATTCAGAGAGCCAGAGATTGCTATTTAATGTCTTTTAGAATTCCACTATGACCTAAGTAAATATTTGGACCAGCTTTTGTTAATTTTCTGCAGCATTGACCCACCATTTGTTAGTCATCCAACTGCAGGGTCTGTATTTGGGTTTATTCCTTCCTTTGTTAGTCGACTTTGCTTGATCATTGGAGTTAACTTAGATAACGAATTACCTCTTCCAGTTCAGAATGACAAATTACCTTTTCTTGGATGTGCTCCTCTTTCATGGTAGTATAAGTTGCATTAAGATGATGGATTTCGAATGGTGAAGCATCTACAAGAAACCTGCGTCCCAGTAACCTTTACCCTGTTGTTAAGCTAACCTAACTTGGTCACTGCACAGGTCAGTGTTGACTATCTGACTAAGCCTCTCGATGTTTTCAAGGAGATGTCTCGGATTCTTAAGCCGGGAGGCCAGGCGATAATGAGGTGATGTATATCTTCACAAAGAGTTAGTTATTCAGGAGCTTCTTCTGATGTTTCGAGTTCCAACTTCCAAGGACACTTTATCATACTCCAGCATTTGCAGGATTTGTTTTCCTTGTTGATCACAATAAGTTCCACGACTACATGATTCCATGATGTTAGAAATCAGCATAATAGCCTATTGTAGTGGTTATAGAATGTGCCAGCACCAATATTTTCCTCCTTTAACCAAAACATGGGAAAAGGCCTTGATAACGTCATGGTTTTAGAATGAACCAGCACCAATATATTCGCCTTTTAAACTGAACTCAAAGGCCTTATTAACCCCATTGTTCTATAAAGATATTCTAACCATTTTTGTCAGTTCCTCCTTGCCTGTGATGAAGCACTTCTGATATCTTTCTCGGTGAAACAGTTTCTCTAACCGTTGCTTTTGGACCAAAGCAATCTCGATATGGACATCAACAGGTGATACAGATCATGTTATGATTGTTGGGTCATACTTCCATTATGCAGGAGGATTCGAGCCTCCTCAGGTAATAGTTGTATTACCTATTAGTATCACTTGCTAATATGTAGCGATACTTATCTCTTGAAAAGCAAAATAATTATCGCGTAAATATAATGAGAGCATGTCATAAGCAAAACCAGCTTCTGATGGCTCTGGCCACTAGCAATGTGGTTCTGGGTAACTATCCTTGTCCTCATATATCGTACACTGTGGATGGAAGATAAATTTTCAGGGACGGTGTCAACGCCGTAACATATGTATACATTTGAGCTTTAAAGAGCAACTGCTTACTCCAGAAACTGGCTTCAATGCACTTGAATCGTGTAGGTGGCATCACGCATGGAAACTACTAATTCTGCCTGTTTCCACCAGCACTTCTTTTAGTGAAAATATCTGTATAAAAGCAGAATGATTTTTTAAGCTGCACCATATGATGCTTGTTAACTGTGGTTCTGTGGCTAGCTATCTTCTGATGCAAAAGTCACGTAGGCTGTCTCCTCCTTTCCACTGCAGCTTTTGCTTCTCAGAGCATTTTCTTTTCCTTGTTGCATGGATCTAACTCTCGAGACACCGCGGTTAGATCTGGTGAGATAGAATGAAGCGAGGGAGTGAATGTACTGAGTATGTTGATTCTTGTGTTTGGATATCACACAGGAATAATAAAGGAATGAAGAGTTTGTGATTCTGAATTGTCGAAACTGTTCTTACATCGTCGAGTTCTTATTTTTATGTATGTTCTGTATTCACGGCTACTGTCCGTGGGGGTTTGATGAGTCAAATTCATGCAACATTTCCATCTACAGGCTGTGGATATTTCTCCAAACCCCGGGCGGACAGATCCGATGTACATCGTGCACTCGAGAAAGGCCTTGACCGCTTGAGATTTGAGAGCGCGGAAGCGTCGCCCTTTCCAAGTAGGGAAAAGAAGTTAAGATGGTCTTCAACCAACATCTTCAGATGCTCCTATGCTATGATAATGGCCGCTCATTGTACTTCAGAACTCTTGTATAACAGTTTGGGAGTGGTGGGTGCACCTAAAATAGGTGATTTTAGGGGCCAATTCACTCTTGGCATTTTTTTTAAAATTAGTGATTATTAACTCTTGTTATTCGAGTTAATGCTATCAGTCAAGAATTTAATCAATTTTTATTATTATATAAAGGCATGAATTGTTTATTTGTAATTCATGTCATATTTAAGAGTGTATTTGCTTTGAACAATAATAGGAAATAAACTACATTCTATCTCCAATTTCAGCTCGCGTATGGGTTTTTCAACGAATTATTGGAAGATTCTTGTTAATTTTCTTGTTAAATAATAATTCTTGTTAGTTTCTTGCTGAACATAGAATAGTGCGCATTATAGGAAGATTCTGACCATATAATTGGTGAGATTTTAATTTTCATTGTATGTTTCATCGCTTAATCAATTAGTAAGTCCTTCCTTACTTACTCCATTAAGCTGTTTTTTACTTGAAATAATCGATTAAATTGTATGTATGTAGAAGTTATCAAAGGCACTTGATTTAACATAAGTGCTGAAAATTAAACTTTCCGGCGTTTAATGGGGTTATTGAAGGCACCCTATCTTCTAGCTCATTAAAATAATGTCGCTGCTCTACTGCATTTAAATTGAATTTCTTTGCAACCTAACACGAGGGCTGGCGATTTATGACATGGACTAACACGATTATATGGCAAGCCCGAAGCTGATACGAATTGACTTGGATTTAACATACATAAATTTTATAGAATAATTGATAAAAATAAAAGTGGTCTTTAATGATACTACTCGACATGGTTAGAGAACCCGATTCTAACAGGTGAATATGAATTGTCAGCCGTAGCATTTACCTAACAAGCAACTCAGCTCTAACTAAAATTGTTTGAAATGACATCAAGAAATAAAATTCAAAACTATTTGTTTAGACTTAACGAAAGGCGAAAGATACTCGTTTGTTTTCCCATCGAAACTTAAATTATTATTTGAATTTCAAATATTATGAAGAATTATACGTGAATATGCACATCAATATCTATACATCGTACCCACCCATGGGTACCTCAGTTGGTTATGGCGTACTTGGGATTGTGTGGTTAGGTGCACTGGTCCCAGGTTCGATTTCCCAGCTGAACACTTGTGATTTAAATGAGGGGCCATGGCGGTGGGTTGCTGTGCTAGTCTCCCCCAAGGAATAGTCGAGGTGCATGCAAACTGGCCCGGACACCTCGGTTACCAAAAATATATATATCTATACATCGTGAAAGTGTATGCTTAAGTTTGGGAGAAGTACCAAAAAATTCTAAACTTATTGCACTTGTACCAATTCAGTCTTAAACCTTTCAATTGTGCCAATTGAGACTTAAAACATTTTGACAATTGGCCGAACAATTTGCCAATGTATTCCATTCGGCAAATTTTAGCCAAAAATCGCTGACATGGACATCGACCGTCCTATGTGGCATGTCCACTGCTAACGTTGATAAATTTTTTAAATTGTCTGAATTTTTTATTACTTTTTTTTAATTTCTTTCCTTTCTTTTTTTTTCTTAACTGTGAGCTGGCAAGGTTGTCAGTTGACCCTGGCTGGTAGGGGTGAGCGATTCCCGGTTCCTTACAGGTTCCGCCTGGAATCTGGAACCTACCCTCGGGTACAGGTTCTTCATTTTTTGAAACTTGGAACCTACCCGTCGAAACGTGGAACCTGGAACCTACCCTATCACAGGTTCCAGGGTCGGTTCTAGGTTCTTTTTTTTTTCTTGTTTCATTTTTAGTTAAACAAAACGAAAGACTAGTTATTGAACAAACCACGAAGATTGTAAACGTGTAAAGAATAAAGAGTGGCCTGTTACATAATGGATTTGTTTATCATTTGCAACTAAGGATGAAAACTCTCATCAAAATCAAGATAGATCTCACAAAAAAAGAACATGACATCATTTGTTGACATATATGTTGAGCAAGATTGAAAATGATGGCCTAAGATAGATGTCATCATCCGCTTTAACATAGAACTCAGCATCAAAAAGTGCATAGGCGGTTTTGAAGAAAGTTAACCTGCAGTTTAAAGCGGATGAGAGAGAGAGAGAGAATGGTGCTCACGTTTTGTAGGGGAGCTTGTTGTACTCCTCTTCTGTATCCAACAGCAAGAAGTCATCATACTGTGCCACTTCCCTTTTCAATTCCATCATCTTCGCCCCATCATTAGTCCTACCAATGATAAATCTAAAAACTAATCCAGTGTCTTCCTCCAAGCTGCAATTTAGTCCATATACTCACAATCAAATCAGATTTTTCACATATACCATAAATGATAAAGCATAAATGAGCCGAGATCAATTACCACAACCACATCTGTAGTAATAACAATTCCTAAATATTCTACATTAAAGCCATTGGAGAAAGACCGAACGAGATAAATTCTTGATAGTAGCAAGTTTCCCAGTGACATAAGCTATACTCATGATTTCAAGTTTGCTTGCATTGACCCCAACCGGATCTAAAAAGATCACCCTTTCCCCCATAATCACATCCCAAACCTACCCATAAGAAAATTCTCAACAAAAGAAGCAGACACAACACAAGGGCAAAATCACATAACCCATATTCCCCTCCAATCTCCTCTAGACTAGAAAAGATATCAATTTCTCTACCAAATCCATAAGTAGGGGAGAATTGAGTAGTATTCAGATTTTCCTTGGAAATATTGTTCAGACTAGGGTGGCACAGACAAAGCTATCCTCTAATTAGAAAATACATATGCCCTTTTACCCATTCGGATGAATTGATTTTGTGTGGCAATGTTGAGTTTTTGACTTGTTAGATTGTGAATCACTAGGAAAGAGGCGAATAGAGTCAAAGTTTACACTCTGTTTTTTCACTTGATTAATTTATATAAATCAGAGTTTACACTCTATTTTTCCCACTTCTTTGGTCCCATTCACTTAAAACCAAAGCCAACTCCTGCAGGCTGCGGCTATAAGTCAAAAAGTAAGGAAAAATAGATACAAATGCTTTATCCATACTAATACCAATTCGGAAAAATTAGTTCAAAGCAAAGAGATCTAGCCATGGCTATATCTATACCCATTCAGATGCCCTTTTGCCCCAAACGAAAAATCAACTCAGCCATTACAACAATTTTAGCAAACAAACAAGCAGGAACAAAACTCCAACTTCAAAGTGCTCTAACAATCGCACGAGCCACATTGACAGAAACCCTAGAGTCGTCAACAACGCAACACCAAATCGGCCACTGCCGTCACCACATTTGCAAAAATGAACCAGAAGGAGACGAAGAAGAAATTTGGTTACCTGATTCTTGAAGGTAGCAAAAGACGAGGTAAGCGAAGTGATGGAAGGGGCTCAGCGTCGCAATGGCGAAAGGGGTTCAGCGTCGCGGCAGAACGCGGAAGGCTCAGTGTCGTGATGGAACGCGGAAGGCTCAGTGTCGCGACGGAAGGGGCTCAGCGTCGCGGCGGTGGAAGAGGCTCAGCGTCGCGGTGGAACGCAGAAGGTTCAGTGTGACGCCGTCGATGAGAGTTTGAGAGCTGAGACTGAGAGTGAAAAGTGAAAAGAAAATTAGGGATTTTACAATTATGGTACCCGGTTCCGGTTCCGGTTCGGTTCCTATAGGAACCGGGAACCGGCGGTTCCTTAAAAAATAGAACCGGGAACCGGAACCTCCCTCCTTAGAACTGGGAACCGAACCGGACCCGTCGGTTCGGTTCTACCCTGAAACCGTGCTCACCCCTACTGGCTAGCTACAGGCAAGGTCTAGGCGAGGGCCTCCACCCCTCCCAGCCACAAGCAAGGGCCTTTGCGCCCTCGCCAAGATCCAAGAGAGGGTGGTGACATTCTTGCCTAGATATGGGTGAGAGCCCAACGCCCTCGCCTGGATCTTGGCTAGGGCGCGAAGGCCCTCACCGACCAATAGGGGTGAGGGCTCAACATCCTCACCTATGGCAGGCAATGGTTAGCTAGTGATGTGTAAAAAAAACAAAGAAAGAAAAGACAAGAAAAAAGTTAAAATTTGTCCACGTTAGCATTGGTCATGCTATGTAGGACAATCAACATCTATGTCAGCAATTTCTAACCAAAATTACCTGAATGGACTACATTCCGTTCCAAAATTGGGGAATTTGTGTAATAAATTACATAGTTGCCAATTTCCACCTTTCCCACCACATTCTTCTTCATTTTTTTCATCCTCATCCTCTGTGTCTAGTCCTAAAAAGATTCATTTTATTGAAAATTCAAAGAATTAAAAAAATAAAAATAATTTACTAATCGCAGGTTGGCCGCCTTGTCGGAAACCAAGGGCTCGTTGGAAACTAAGGGTATAAGCTTAGTCTGCTAAAAGGACTGAGCTTAAACCTTAATATGGAGGGTTTAAGGTATTTGATCATTAACTTAAGGATTAAGCAAAGCATAAGAAAAATAATTATGAATTTCTAATGATCGTTAGAAATCCAATCATTGGAAGCCATTTTGAGAGCGAACATAAGAGAGAGCAAGTGTTCTTTGTTTAAAGCGCTCCACTTTATAATCTCAATTTTGAATTACCAATACGCAAGATTTCTAAATATCAAGTTATTAGTGGAGGTAGTAATTAGTGAAACTCTGATCCTTTCGCCTGAATTAGAGCATAACCAACAAAATATATATTTCCAACAAAATACATATGTGACAGATCTCCAAAGACACTGGAGAAATAAGTCATTATGAGAGAAGTGAATATTAGTACGAAAAAGAAATGTAGATGATGCAAAAAGAATCACTCGACTAGGGAACTCCCAAACCTGACCGAACGGCCAAGCAAGGCCAGTGCAATGCTCATGCAGTGCTGGAGCCTACACGTGCTGCTTACTACTTAGCATTCTAACTTCTCAACAATTAAATCATGCAAATGGGATTTGTCTCAACCTGGGACTCGTTGTGATTGTTGGTATTGGCCTAAGATTCGGATATGAAGTATTCTCAAAAGATGTCAATGTTCAGCATCTCATTTTTGTGGGCATTTGAGTATGATCTCTCAAGTATCTCAATATCTTACTATAAAAGTTTTCTCGCATAAATTGAGTAAATCATCTTTATGTTCATAACAGTTTGTTGCAGCTACACAACACATTAATTCCTTGGCT